CTCCTTTCTGATGGCGGGTGATCACATTTAATTTCACGTCCATTGTGATTGTTTTTCGTGCCTTTTTAGCTTTAGGCGCCCCAGAGGATGAAGATGGACGTTTTCCAGAAGTGCTCAATGGGGAAAGCAGCGTTTAATACTAAAAAGATACGAGTTAAACACACATTGCAAATGAGAGCACAGAGAAAAAGTAGTGCTAGTGTGAACTGAGAAAGTGATATGCGGGAAGCTTGCTGGACGTGGTCACAGTTGTTGTACAGAATACAGTACAGTACTTCATTATCATCATCATTAGTAGTAATATTCTTTATTATTACATTATTATAATAATGATTATTATTAATAATAATATTAAAATCGTTGATGTTGTTATGACTGCAACTTTATAATAATAACTTACAAGCACCTCACCACCCGACTCCACTGCCAGGCCACCAGGCGAATACGTGTGGCAAATTTGAACTGTCTTGAGCGCATTATTTAAAAAATAGGTGCACGTAAATTGGCTTTTGGTATTAATTGAACAATCGCGTTATTCCAAAAACGCCTAAAACAAACGCGCGTAAAATGCGAATTACCTGTATATTCTCAATTTAATGAACTAATTCGGGCCACCCCTTTATGTTAAATCAAAATTTACGCTAAATTGAATTTCCGTTATTTTCGCTCAATTTAACAAACTAATTCGCTAAATCGAGCGTGATTCCATTAGAGTCCGCGCCAAATGCTCCATATTGGTAGTCATATTGACCTACACTTTACCACAGGAGGTTTGGGGAGTCGTCTTATACCACAGATATGAGCTGAAACCATGAAATTTAGACAGAAATGTAGGCCTCGTCTTATCCAAAGGTCGCCTAATCAGCCGTAATATACGGTAGTTTCAAAATATAAAATACAAAAAGTTTAACTACATAAATTGTTGTTACAATATTCTTATACAAAAATTGTGTTGATAATGATATTGAAACAGTTTATTTAGCCAGAAAAATAGAGTGGACAATAAGAACAATATTGACATGCCTGAGCCTCTAGGTGGCACATGACATATACTGTACTCCAGTATTTATTATTATTTTTTTTTTCTTTTCATGAAATTGTTTTCAATCTAAAAAAAAAGAGCAAAAATAAAGCAGGTCTGGTAGTTGCCAGGCATCACTTTCTGATTGAAAGTTTCTGGAAATCGAGACATCATTCATTTGGGTGATTGTTCTCTGTTTTTGCTATAATTTTCCCAATAAAAGTTCTACCATGCACTTCTCAGTTCTTAACCAACTTGTTCCTTTATTAATTTTACATTAATCCTAACCACCTTTTCCTTTATACAGGATAATTATACATTTCCCATCCTTTTGGTACCCTTCCCAGAACTGTACAGGACTAAGTTGTCACTCATCCTATCAATGATAATTTCATATGCTCCTGGTGCCTTACACTTCTTGAAATTATTACAGCTAGTCTCTCTTCCTCCTCCCTTAATCAAATAAATTTGTAAATAAAAGATCTTATTGAATAGTCTTAAACTTTTTTCAGTTTGTTTGAGAAAACACTTTTCCTTTAATATGCAAAACCTACACTTAGATAAAAAAGACATTGCATGATGTCCCCCGTCAGCCGGAATAATTGGTGCAGAGCGGTACAGGGATTGAGAGATTTCTGGATATGGAGACGAATTTTCTCATCCCCAGAATTTTTCCAGGTACAGTACTGAGGAAAGTTTTCCGAGACTCTAAACTACACATCTCACATGGACAGATATAATGAAGCCACTTATAACGGAGAATTAATTACCATAAGAATTAATAGGAATAGGGTCTAATTGGGACCATCACATTGTAAGTGACACTCATAAAGTTTAATTTGTTATCTTTTAACATTTATATATAGTATATACCTTAGAAACATTTGTTAAACATTGATTACATATTATTTTATGAAATTATTTAACTTTATAACTTATTTAAGGTACGTAAAGTTGTTTGGGGTCAGTGAGTTGATGCATTGAAAGCTACCAAGCCACTCACTCAGATGCTCTCTTCAGTTAAAGTGGTTCATTGAGACACATTCACCACTTTTCTTTCGACATATAACTTCTAATTTCACGTCCATCCCAAAGCTAATACATTTCCTTTTAGCCAATACATCACCTTGCTTATTTGGAACTGATGGGTACAAAAATAATCCACCAATATCACCAAAGATACAACGAAATTGATAATTACAGTTCTTGGAGCACTTCAAAATAATGCCTATGGACACAGGCATAGCAAGGGCGAGAAGGATAAACTTCTAGTGTGAGAGGTGTGCGGGAATTTCAATCACTCAAACGCTTGTGCTCCTGATTATTGACAGATTTCAACCTCAGATTCCTCTCAACCTCAGAGACTTTTACGTGTATAGTTCCACAATTACTGGATTTGACCACTTAAGTGCAAAACCACTAATAATGTAGACACTTATAACAGGGACCACCTGTACTGTATACACTATACTATACTGTACTGTACTGTACTCACCAACAGATGCTGTCATATTGAACTTGTGAAGCAGGCAAGCAAGTCCGGGGTTCAGTGGACACTGGACCTGATCCTGAATACTGTCATCATGAAGATTATCCCTAATCTCCTCCCTACCTCAAATCAGGAGACAGGTCATGTGACCTGATTCCTATGTCCTATGTCTTTTTCCCTTACTTTGTTCTGTTAGTTGGCTGATGAGAGTACTACAGTAGTATACCAGCTCCAAGATAACATTTTTTATTTCTCCAATGTGGGTTTTTACTTCTTTTACCAGTGTGACCATTACACTTTTGGAATACCATTGTAAGGGCGGTAACGATCTTTCTGCTCGTTACCGCTGCTCACTCGCTCGTTTGCTGGCACGACCCCCACTTGGAGGGGGGAGGGGGGGGGGGATTGGACGGAGGTGAGGAGGTCGCTGCTACCAGTGTCACTGGCAGACATTACCCAGATTTCAAACCAGACACACCTCCCCCGCTGCTCTTCCAAATTCTGGTGGTGTTTTCATCAAAGGCTCTGGACTCGTGGGCTGTGTCCCCAGACCTTCACCTATCGACTGTCAATCTCTGGACACCTACCCCGACGACTACTGCGGCTGCAACGTCCCCGCCAGTTTCATCTCCACCGTCTGCGCCCCGGTGCTTCTCCTGCTGTATCAAGATATCGGACGCTGTCGCTCGAGTGAGGAGCTGAATGGACCTTCCACCTGAGAAAGGATCACAGCGTTCCAGAACCTTCCCCAGGGCCGCTGCCGTAGAAAATATCTGTTCATTGTTTGATTCTATTGTTTGTTTCATTCCATTAATTGCTGACTCCCATTAATTGTTTGTTTCCATTAATTGTTGACTCCCATTGACTGTTTGATTCCATTAATTGTTGACTCCAATTAATTTGTTAATTCCATTAATTGTTGATTCTCTTAATTGTTTGACTCCCGTAATTGTTATTTCATGTTTGTTGAGTGGTGTCAGAGTTTTGTCTTATATTTTTATAGTAAAGAGATGTCAATCTCAAACGGTTGTTTGTTATTCCTCAGAAAACCATGGTCCTTGACTTTCCTTTTATAAGATCCTGATTAGGCTGGTAAGGAATTTTTATTCCTAAGTCCCAGGCCTTTACAACCATCTACATATTATCAGCTCACTTCACAATGTAAGTGTTACATTTGTTTATTACAGTCTTATTTACTGTATTATTACTCTGTGTACAAAACATTTAAAAAACATTTGTTTGCACAATAATTACAAACGGAATATTTTATGTGGCAACCAAGGCATGGTAACTGAGTAGGTTTGTTGATTGCAAGAATGAGGATCTATCTTTGGAATGATTCAAATAAGGTGCAAAAACTGAACAGAAAATGAATGAATAATTAATCGAAAGCAAAAATTTGGAAATTGCCGAATAATGTTAAAATATTCCAAACTCAGTTAATTCGGATTTTTATGTAATTCAAGTGACCCAGAGCCCCCTTTTTATTTAATTAATGAGGGTATAGTCTATACTGCACAACACACAATATTTGTAAAAACAGCAGTGAGTGAGTGAACAAGCTTGTATAATGGCACCAAACAATGAACTAAGTGTTTCATGTTTGCAAGAGTTTGAATATATAGGCTGTGAGATACATCAGCCAAGTATAGGCATCCCAAGCAGCCACAAGACAGTAGTCACTAATTATAGTTCACGAGCACTCTGATCCTACCCACCCATTCACGCGCAAAAGTATGCACCCCACATCAAAATCCTGATGCAATCTCTCAGAAATTCGTTTCCATGACAGAAACAGAGATTTTCTTGAAATTTTCTCAGAATTCTCCATAAATACGCATGATTCAATCCTCAGATTCGTTCCCATACCCGGAATGGAGAGATTTTCCCAAAATTTCTCGGAAAGCTAAAAAAATAAATACAAAAATAAATACCTGTACAATAAAATCTGGCTATTGGAGAGTTCTAGGGATCAAAGATTCTGGCTAATGGAGAGATTACTGTAAAGGGTATTTGTCAGTTAACTGTAAAAACGATCTTGAGTTCAAAGGTAAATGTGGCAATTCCAGAATGACAAATGACTAAAAAGTTTTTATCATAGGGCACTTGTGTGTAATTTTTTAATATACTAATTGATGATTATAGTACAAGTGTAGCCTCATTTTCAAGTACAGCACAAAAAAATATAAAATTCTGTCATCTGCTCAGTGATGTACAGGTACCTACAAATATACACCTGTTAAGAGTCCACTATATGCATTTCACAAACACTCATGCAATTTTAAATCTACATTCTACACCTAATTCTAACACCATCATTTTCATCACACATAACAATTACTACGAGCAAAAGCACAGCAAAAGCAGAAAAAGCCAATACAATAGAGAGCTAAGTTCATGGTTGCACACAAAGAACATGAGCAGTTTAGCACCCACACCAAAAAATTCTATAGGTACAACAACATTACTTTTAAAGCTGCAGCAACTTACATGAGTGAGACTCTGCACCTTATGAATGTTCTCTAGACTTTGTGCAAGGCCTCCCTCCCCAACTCTCTCCAGCTGGGTAAGTCGAGGGGGTAGAGGAGGTGCAGATGTCAATGTTGTTGATATTGAGATGTTAGGGGCAGATATTTGACTGACTAGGGAGCGGTTGCGTACTGGGAGTGGTGGGGGGATATCTGAAGCCGAACGCGCGTGTGTGTGATGCTGGGAATGGGAGTGAGGGTGGGAAAATGATGGACGAGAAAGAGGAGGAGAGCGTGGGGAGGAGCGTGGGTGCGTGTGTAACTGAAAACAAATACAACACATCATGACATAACATAAAAACATAAAACAACAAAAAATAAAACAATATGCATTTCAGTCTTCTAGTTAAACATCTCATTAGTTGGCCACAGCAAAGCAGCAGGTATATGCAGAGTGCCATGGGCACATTACAAGCCCAATGATCTTCACACATCTAGAAGACCTGTCTGTAAGTCTGAGCATGAGACAACAGAATACAAGCCCATCACAGTGTCTCTTATATAAAGTGAAAGACTGCCTCATTAATCCAATGCAGTAAGTGGCATAATTCCAAAGAAACATGAAAACCAAGTTATAAAAAATTATAAGAAATGGAAAATAAAATTAGTGAAATTAGAAAATCCTAGACTTTAAAGCAATTAATGGTAAATTATAATGTTTAGAACTGATGCTTTAAAATTATTTAAAAATAAATTGAAAGAACTCAAATGAGAGCATTAAATACAACAAAAACCATAAAAAAAGAAAACTAAGGTAAATGAAAGAAAGGCTTACTTGAGTTTCAATGTCTTTCATGTTCTTGAGTTCTTCCTGTATTTTGGATATTTGACGATTTATAGAATCCAACTCCTTCTCAAGGTTTCTCTGCAAAACCTGTAAAAGGTAAACAGTGACCACTGACCACAAGATGCAAAACCTAAAGACTTAGCCACAATTCTGAGTCAAGTAGCTACGTACATTAAATAATAGTAAAGGGTCTGCATGAGAAACATTTCAGATGAGTGCATAACAAAATGATATGGTACATGTATGAACAGGAAGACATTTATAGAGAGATAAAAATAGGTTGATAATTAAGACCATGTAAAAAGCCATATGAAGAATGGATGACCTTACTTTATTTCATCTATACTGCCGAGCCTTGAGTAAAATTTACTGATCTATAACTTGTACTCACGCATAGTCAAGTTTACTATGTATGATCCACTACTGGTGTCTTTTTTGGTGTTTGCCTGATCTACTACACCTTCTTCTTTACTTGACATGACCTAGTACTATTCCTTGACCAGGTCTTCCTTAATTTTATCAGATATTCTAACTTTCGCCAATTCAGGTCTAAATTTATTCTTTACCCTGAATTTTCATATTATCCCTTTCACAAAATCCTTCATCTGCTTCCAAACTAGTATTTCAGACTCCCATAAATTATATAGCTGTAGAGTATAACTGTTCTGCCCATGAGATGAAAGAACAATTAACCTTTAAATCTATCAATTTATATATCTAACCATTTTAAAAACTTTTCTTTTTGAGTAAAATTAATGATTTCCCCTTTAAGAGCTTTCTATTACTGTACGTACTGTATAATCTTCATTATACATCTGTGCTAATTATGCTGCCCTGATATCTTTCCATATACTATCCAATTCTCAAAGAGAAAAATAAAAGTTGATTAAGCAATAGCAACACAAACATAATAAAGAACATGCTGATACATGCAGACAATAAGCTAATAAGAAGCTGCAGCTTCTATCTATGTAAACTTAAAATACATAGTGGCTTAAGTCATTCTACTTTCCTACAAATGACCACAGTCAATGTAGACTTACTTGAATGCTCGACTCACCTTAGAGGGGCCTCTCTGAAGCTCCACCAAAATAGTATCCCTCACACGACGCTGCTTTTCCAGGTACTTTGTCAACATTTTGCCCTTGTTTACATCCATCTGATTTTGTAACTGTGTCTGTTGAAGGATGGATGTTAATGTACAGAGGGTTTTATAAAAACAATATTAAACAATAATTTTTCAACTTCCAGCCAACTAGTAACTTCAGAACTATAATTCTCACATTCACCCTTATCACCTCTAGCACTTTCTCCATCCACTTTTAAGTGATCAAGACCACTGCACCACCTGTTCCAGATTCACTTCCTTCTAGTATATTTTGTATCTGTCACTCTTCCCAGTGATCAGCCTTACTGAAGCACCTTTCCACCTAGTTTCTTGCACACAGCAAACATCGAGTTTTCTACGACTCAATGTCTCCACAATCTCACCTGCATTTAAATTACCATCTCTGACTCCATGTCAGGTTCCTTCCATTTGATCATGAGCAGTTTCCTGTGACATTCATTCATGTGGTGTATACTGTAGGTGATTAGTCATGTTTGACAAGTGGATTAACACCCAGAACAGGATACAACCCCCCCCCTCCCAATGCATCCATCTGTGTTAATAGCAGAGTGTAGTTGATGATGTTACTAACTTAATACAATCAACTGTGTCAAGAATTATAAAATAACATTTGGTCCAAAATAATAGTACCGTACTAATGATACCGATCATATTATTATTATTATCGAAAACTCCATGATCTATTTTCTTCTATAAATGCTGTCAAATGAGACCATAACACATGCATCCAACAAAGTCTTCTGTTGTTGTGACATGATTGGCTTAAAGTCTCCTACTCAATTATGTATCAGTCGCAGTGATTGGCTGAGAGGAAAATGAAAACAAGCACACCGCTGCCATCTGTCTGCATCATACGAACTAATGCCAAAGTTCGTACGAGGACCACAGCTTATTTACAAACCACTTGTGAATCATTCTTACGCTAGTTCATCTGGACTTCAAGTTTCCGGGCAGATATGAACTTCGTATCTCAGCAGTGTTAGCGAATCTGGGTCCTAGTATGACTGCAACCCTGGTGCTATAACAAAAGCAGTCCAGTGGCCCTGGGGTGACCCACCATGACCAGCTTCAGGGTCACCCTTCCATGCACAACATGCCACCAAAGCTGGCCGTGGTATTACAGTGAATCCTCAAAGATCCGGACTAAAAGGGGGGACCACCTGTCCGAAAAAGCCAATTGTCTGTATCTCCCGACGAATGTCCTAAATGTATAAAAATTACAAACAATGATAAAAAAAAGACCAAAAATAAAGTATCGCATTTTATTAGCAGGGAAAAATTAATAAAACGCCAATAAATAAGTTACAACAAAAAATACTGTATTGCCAAATCAGTAAATAAAAGCCAAATGAAAGTTTAACACAGTCGCCATTTGCATACACTCCGTTTCACCATAGTGACGGAGACCAGCTGGGACGCCGATTTTCTAGCAACGCTACCCACCCCCTACACTCTGCACCCTCCTCCCCTCCCCCACTGAGCCAGCTAACTCGTGTGCAAAGAAATGTACTGTATATTCCTTAGGAAAAATCATTTCTTTTACTCTTTTTACAATATGTACTGTATGTAGGATGGTGTGTGCCTGTAATTTAGTAAAATTCAATGAAGAAAGTTATGCATATCTACCCAAAAATACAATTTGAAAAACAACTATAACACCTCAGAGCTTGGACCAGTAGCCAGGTGGTTGCAGTGACAAGTCTAACCTGGCTACAATGCCATGATTAAACACTAATAATAACAGTAAATATAGTGAAATATGGTAGGGAGGGAGGAGACCAGACGACGCTCAACTAGCGGTCACTCACTCCCCTTACTCGCACCCATTGCCAGGTGCACAATCGGAATACATATGGGAGAAATACATATCTTGTAGTTTAATTTGAAAATGGTGACGGGCAGTGATAAACAAATTATGTAAACCCTGCATTTACCTATGATAACAAAATAAGAAACTTTGTGTCTAATATACTATAGGATTAGCCGTGTGTTTGTCTGTGTGTCTGTTCTGGGCAGCCGAAACAGCACAATCGTTTTTCATAAAACTTGGTGGAAAAATCACAAAAAATCGTTGAGTGGAACAAACCTGGTCCCATGTCGATGGTTTCCTTAGGAAGGCATTAATTAACCATTTTACTTACGATGGAAAACGATGCAAGTCTACGGACTTGGCGCACCCTCATTCGCTGTACACTTGCCAAGCACGAGCGTTCAAACTTTCACTGGGCACGAAGGTGCCCGCGATCACTTGTCATTACTAGAGTGAATGAAATAATATTTCCACAAACAACAATTGACAACTCTGTTCATGGTTCCCGCCCTGAGCACCTGTGTCCCACGCACTGACATCTTAGTTACATGGGCCTAAGATGATCCTTGCTCTGTTTTGTGAATGCTTCTTAGGAAAGCAAGCCACCGAAACCCCCAAATTTGGTCCGAATCTTCCAAAATCCGGATTCACCGGGTCCGAATCTTTGAGGGTTCACCATACTAGCTACTGTACTATCAAGCCAGCCTGTAAAACACTCATAGGGTACCCTCTGTAAAGGCAGTGCACCAGCCCAGAAAATGCAGCAGAGGCCAGGAGTTGAGGACAACTCTGGTAACCCAGTTACCAACAGGGTGAGAACAGGTGGCAAGGTAGGGTTACAACTCCCAGAGGTAATCAATGACTACCTGTTTAACTTATGAAATTTAACAGATTCACTGTCTTCTTGTGTGTTCAACCAATGATTCTTATCCTTTTTGTACTGGATGCTTTTGTTTGAGGACTCACTCCTCATTTGTCACCATATTAATTTATAATATTATATCATCTGTTTATTTAAATTTTTTTGCCCTTAGCTGCTACGTTCTTTCAATAAACCATTATTATTATTATTATTATTATTATTATTATTATTATTATTATTATTATTATTATTCATTCCAAGATGTTCAATAGACTTATGGTTATTCTGTGTACATATGCCAGTTGTAATCAAATTAACTGACCTTGGGCAAGACCCAGCCTCATAATCAAAAAAAGTAAAGAAAAATTGGACCAAGGTATAGTATAGTGTTCAAGAAAATATTATCGCAAATTTCAGTGTTTTAGCTGATCCACTGTCCAGCCCACAAAATCAGCTGTAAAAGTGCATATTAAATGTAAACAAACATTACAAAGCAATAACTGCAAGACAAAAGTTCACATTGCTATATAGGGTATAACAATACCTAAACCTAGTGGTAAACATGATAATAGATCACCTGCCTATCCAATAACAACAACATAAATGGGGACAATACAGTACTTAGTTATTGAAGAATTAATACAACCTAGGGTAAAGATAAACGGATATGACCATTTGCTGTCACTATTAGCTAGGATCTGATGGTGGATGGGTGGCTTGGACCAGACTCAGATTCATAGAATTCAGTGAGAATCAGCCTCTATGCAGCTGTAATAGTGAGCTTCCCTCATGTGAGGTCACTGCACAGTGGGCAGTATAAGTTAAAGTGTATATCAAATGGAATACTGTAACAGATAACTGCAAGATGATATATAATATAAAGAGCCAAATACAAAAGAATTATCACCTAAAAAGCCTCCAAGAATTTTAAGAGGTGCCTGGCAGAAAGTGGTAACCATAAAATCTAATTTGAATGCTGTACTGTATACAGTACATATTACTGAAGCATATACCTTGGACTAACTGTTTTATATTTTACATATCTATCATAACACTTCAAATATATAACTGGAACAATTAACTGTACATCTGTATCAAAATGGAAACTACAGTACAGTATTAACAAATTATAATGGTTCTGCAGCTGAAAAAAGACTTTCTGCATAATAAAGCAAAGTTAAATAATGTATCCCAAAACTTACATTTGCAGGTAATGGCGCAGTTATGCGGTCATTTAATTTGGAGGGCGTTGGTGTAGGAGGAAGAGGGCGGTGCACTGAATCCAGGGGCGACACTGAGTTTGGAACATCAACTTCAGGACCACTTTGCAAAGTCAGCTTAACAAACTGTGTGGCTGTGGATAAAATACAATATAACTTAATAAAGTCTGTAACATAATCAATGTATTCACAAAAAATTCAATACATATTACTTGCTGTCTACAATAATGGAGATAAATTTATACTAGTCACTCAAATTCTACAAATAAAAGTATTGGTTTTAATATTTCTTGCTTTCTGAAACAAAATTATATTTAACTACAGTAAAACGCATATAGAAAATAAATGCACTCATCCAGGACATTTCTTTACATCTAAAACCTTAAAAATCTGATAATACTGTAGCTATAATCCTTACTACCTTATGTTAAACTTTAGGGAAAAAATCATATACTATTGTATTCAAGCACATTTATTACATTTTCTAGGGGACAATACTGTATTATCTTATGTCATATTCAAGCACTACATTATACTGTACTGTATTGTCACTACAAATTATGGGGGCTGATTTTGAAAGTGTTTGGATAAAATGCTGAATGTTGCCAAGCCATTCAGAGTGTTGTGCTCAGCATATATAACACGAACATGAATATAGTCTTGGGAAGTCAAAGATCTCGGAGATAAAATGAATTAAGATTTTTTTCTTTTTTGCAAGCCTTTTCTCAATATGCTGCAGACTGTAGGAATTAGAAGTACAAACAAACTCTTCCTTCATTCATCTTCATTTATTCATGCTAACTCCTGTGACATAAACAACTCAAAATTCATCTTCAAAAATGTTCAAGTACTGTATTGGTGTGATGCTTTTATATCATATATAAAGCCATAGAATTCTCATGTAGCCTTAGGAGAAAAGCAACACCCACCACATACTGCTTGTTCTGTTTTTTTCAGGGAAATGATCAATTAATTGTTACAGCAGACAGGTCTCTTAAACAAAGTAATATACTGTACAGTATTACCATAAAAAATCTGCTATTATTATAATGCGGAATTTTCTTCTGGCTGCTAGTAACTATTGCCACATTTGTTGTTAAAACAATCATCCACACCCCCCCATGTGGTGGTAAGTCTCTTATCAAACAAGTAAACAGACCGTGCTGGCCACTCATAGAAAGAGGTGAAAAAACAAAAAATGCAGAAGATAAAAAAAAAAAAAAGATGAAAAAATCTGACCAAACCTATAAAGTTAGAAACACTTAAGGAACAATCAGGCACTCAGGTACTTGTCATCATCATCATCACATCACAACAGTTCTACAACCTCTTTCCACACTTACATAAGTTAGCCATGATTACCTGTTGGTAGCTGCATAGTCTATTCCAGCCTCTCACATCAGGTTTTTATCTCAATTACCAGCATTCCTCTAAGCTCTGAACAAGATTTCCTATCCTTCAATGTCATATTACACATCCATCTGACCATTCTCTTTTCAGCTCACTCAAGCCTATATATTTCATCCTCTCTAATTGACCATGTTTCACTGACATACAACATCATATTTCTCAAGCCAGTTCCATACATCTTTCCTTTCACACGAAGAGATTGTCTTCTCGTCATCAATAAGGGCAAAAGCCCCTAAGCTTCTTCCAGCCACTTTGACTCTCATTGATCATATGTTAAGTATAAAGGTGATGGCTGCAAGCTTTCATGTTAAGTAGGAAACTTTTATGAACTCAGTGCTGTAGGGAGACAGGGATATGTTTTTTAATTGTTTAAACTTTCAGATTCCATTCAACAAATGAAGTGCTAAGCTCTGGGTTTTCCCTCCTACAACTTGTGTGGCTACACGGATACCCAAGACATGTATCATGTAATAAAAAAATAATTTAATATAATCACAAAAAACCAAATTTTCAAATATTTGAATAAAATAACCTTTTACAATAATAATAGCATTAAATGGCAAGTTATTGTCATGGGTGTGTTTCATCTACATGTTACAGTTGAAAATTTTGAAGTTAAGGTATGTCACACGGAAAAACATATTTAATGGCAGACTTAAAATTAAAGAAGGAATACTCAAAGACAAAAAATCACTACACACAATCAGGCAAAAAACACTGCTACTATATGGATATAAGGAAAATACATCCAGATCAGAGAAAGTTTAAAGCTGACACAACATGCAAGAAAGCAGGTCAAATCAAAAGCATTTTTACAACTTCCAACGAGTGAAATCACTCACTACACATAAGGCATCAAAAATTTTTAAATATGGACAGCAATTACTATTCTAAGTTAATGAATTCAAATTTTCTCTTGGTAACATTAGTGACTACCAGAGAAAATGTGAATCATTGGCCAATAATAAGAGATACAATACAATTCAAAGAAAAATTGTTAACGCAAACAATTTTCAATACAGGTATCCCTCTCTAGATAAATGGGTTAGGTTTCTGAAAACCATTCATCAAGTGAATTTTCATATCTTGAATAACAGAACATAAGGAAAAAATAAGGTTCGGTTCCCCAATGACAAGAACACCCCAATAACATCTACCCTTAAAACATTTTGCCTCATATTCCACATATTACCAAACTACAAGAAGCTTATTATGAAAATTTATGGGAGAAATGGAATGAAAAAATAACTAACTGCACCATAATTCTTGGCTGTGATTTATTGGACCATCTCATTTAGTAACTACACAAGAAAATTAGCACTCAAAGAGACAAAAGTGCAAGCTTCCCTCTTCTTACAAGTAGACAACCATTATTTAACTGGGATTATGTTCCTATGGAGAAAATATTATGCAACCAAGATGTGATAAAGGTACACTAAAAAATGTGCCACAATCCCATGAAAATCACTGCCTCCCCCCCACCACCCATATCAACATCACTGAAGTAGCTACAGTCACACAATTTATAACATCAAGAAGAATAAATAAATACAATTTTCACATGACCAAACTTCATGATGATGGAACCTGAACAATGATAAGGACAGAAAACAAGATACCATTTATAGAATGATCTACCGGTACAGTATGTAGTATTCAAAGGTACACTACTAAGCCGAAACTTCTGCCCAAAGAATAATTCAGCCTGTACTTACCAGAGAGAGACCGGATGTGCCAAAAGACAAACAACACAGCATTAGTATAAAAAAGAAAGCCATGCTACTCATTTATATATATACAGTGAAACCTCTATTTAACGAACTACATGGAGATGAGTGTCCACTATATCAAGGACCGCTAGATGTGAAACCCCATCTAATGGAGTACAGTATATGGAGAGAGGTCCGTTATATGGAGGTTTATATATATATATATATATACTGAATATATATATATACTGAATATATATATATACTGAATATATACATATATATATATATATATATATATATATATATATATATATATATATATATATATATATATATATATATATATATATATATATATATATATATATATATATATATATATATATATATATATATATATATATATATACACACCCGCACTGGTATCCCTCGCTACACATAGGGTTAGGTTCCTGAAAACCATTCGTTACGTGAATTTTCATATCTCGAATAACAGGAAAACTAGGGTTCGGTTCCCCAATGAAGAGAAAGCCCCAATACTGTACTGTATATCATAAAATAGGTTAATGAACAAAACACATTAATATACAGCTCCTCCCCAACTTACGACGGGGTTAGGGACCCAAATCCAGGTCGTAAGTCAAAAATGCTTAAATAATACATAGAAAATCTAAAATGGGTGTCTCTTTTTCTTCTCAGCACCACAAAACTCTCACTTTTAAGCTTGCCAGCCATTTTGAAGCGAATTAAAAATGAAAATTTTGCATGTGTACTGACGTTGGGACTCGAAAATACGTAATTTGACAAAATTTTGGTACGACTGAGGCAGGTCGCAAGTGCGGGTGGTCGTAAGTCGTGGAGGAGCTGTAATACAGTACATACTATCTAAGTGAAAATGTGCAACTAAAACATTTAGGAAAGGCAAAAAGAAAGTTTAACACAACCACCATTTGCATACACACTTGCTGCGTGACCGAAAGCCTCGCCATAGCAATATAGCCCAGCTGAGACACGGGCTCTGCCAACCCTTTGCCGGGAGCTCCGACACTTCACTACCCCCTCCCGCTCTCACACACAAAGAAATATTTATTCCCTTAATGCTTTTGACCTAATGACTTTCTTTTTCACTTTTTTTATACACATTCTGTATATAGGATGATGTGTGCATGTACTGAGTAAAATAAAATATAAAGAAAGTTATGTTTATCTTCCAAAAATTACAATTTTAAAAACAGCTCACACCTCAGCTTGGTAGGAAGAGGGCTAGGGGGTGTGGCCTATCCCAGCTGACTCCTGGGGGTACAAGATTTGAATTTTTGCTTGAACCAAAATTTGTAAAGAAGGGGAGCATTTGTGATATGAAAAAGAATTGTTAATTTAGGAAATTCGTATAACCGAAATAGCTTATATAAAACATTTGCATAATGAGGGATACCTGTGTGTGTGTGTGTGTTACATTATTTTTCACGAAATCTGTTATTTTTCAAAATTCCCAACATTCATATCGGTAATTTTGCAAAATAACTTACAGACAGACAACCTAAACCAACCTAACCTTGGGGTTAGGTTAAATGAGAGGTTAGGTTAGGATAGCTCATGTAGACTGATACACAGTTAAGTGGTCCTGTTCTTTTTTTTTACTTTGGTTAGCCTGTTTGTAAGTTATTTCGCAAAATTACCAATATCCATGCCGGGAATTTTGAAAAATAACAGATTTCGTAAAAAATAACGCAACATATACAGTATATGTTATGCCTTATTTGCAATAGTTAAAGTATTTGCAGATAAACACATAAACACATTACTTAACTGTAGATACTTTGCACCAACAAAATTTTGTTACGGGCAATATTAGCCATAGTCATATAAATGGCAGATATATAATTTCTATATTAATGAGAAAAATTACCAAATGATGCAGCTACCAGAAGTGAAAAGGCAGAAATATAAAAAAATTATTGCATTGTGCTATGCAAACGTCATAATTGAGTAGACAAATGACTATCATCACTGCAAGCATTAACGACTTACTTAGATTACATCCCCATTATTGATCATTATTTTATTAACCACAAGTACAGTACAGCACTTCTATGACTTCAATTTAATATCTTCACAATATACAGGCAGTAAGTTCAAAATGGTTCTTGCTATTAATAAGATTAAGACTCCTGATATTATCTATTAACAAAATAAATATAATACAACTGAAATTTCTTCTACTCTGTGTAGCTAAAAATAACATGCCTATGTTATCTCTGTTACTAACAAATCAAATATTTTCAAGAGAGACTACAAGTCTGCTTAGAGGCAGAGTTCAACCAACCACAAATATAGATATGCTCCGTGACAACACAGTTCCAGATAACTAGACACAAACCCTAAGGGAGATAACAGGGTATCTGAATTACCTGTTAGAGGCTTTGCTATAAATGTTAATTTCACAATCAGTCCTCCATCTGCTTGTCATTTAAAGTTTTGATGATCAAGTAGATAGTAATTAAAAGATCAACTATGGCACATCCTGAGGTTCAATCAATGGACTTGTGGATATCTATGTTGTCCTTTATTACAAGAAACATTTAGCACAAGGCATTACTGTATGCCTCTAGCAGAAAACAACAGAATTTTTTGAAGGGTAGAGAATACATTTATAATATATAATCAATAAGACTTGTCATATTTAGCAATTAAATTATTATGTAATATACGGGTATGCATGCAAACTTTTTACAGGCTACTCACTATCAAATGGAAGTCTTGGACAGTGACTGAGAAAATAAGCTCTGTTTCACTACAGAACCTTATCTTAATTTTATTCTGATTTCAAGGAACACTATTCCTAGTACAACATAAATGAGACACCTGTATGAAAACCCAGACTCAGGAGGGTCAGTAAACTCTGACAACACACTCTACAACAATAATTGCTACAAAAGCTGCAGTACAGTGATATCCCCATTAGTTGAGGCAACTGGTCCAGAGCACTTCCAGGGATGAGAGATTTCCAATTAACCACACAACTTTCTCAAATTCAGAAAAATCCCCCACCCCTGGAAATTTGTTTAATTCCTGATGTGCCTCAAAGGGGTGAGGCACACAGCATTTTGCAGTAAATTAAAAGGCCTAGTATTGAATGTCTGCTCTTAATAGTGATTAGCTAGGAACTAAAAAGGGTAGACTGACCTAGAAAAAAGAACGCAGATTCATAGCTTTGGCACGAAGTGTGCCCCCTCTTCTGGGGGCAATGGATGGCATGGGGAAGGAAGGGTGACTGGGTTACCCTCATGAGTTAACATATGAACCTTGATTGACATAACTGAGGAGTTGTCTGAAGACACATGTCTCAACTTCAAGGCTTGGTGTACACATTGAACAAGCAGTTTATTGAAGGATATGACGTTATGTGTCAACTACTTATTGGACGAACAGTGGATGTGACAAAAGATGACAGACGATGAACAAGAGAGTAGATGATGGGTCAACACATAAGCTACACTGACCTTAAGACCCGCGGAGGAAACAAAAATGCATGCTGCACATCTCCAGCAAAAGATCATTCACATGAAAAACAATTTAATAATCCATTTCCTTCTTCTTTTGAATTTCAAATTCAAAACATTTATCAAAGTAAAAAGTTAGGTTCCAGAGAAGAATCTCTATCTAGTTTCAGGGTGATCTTACACACCAGTACAGTACAGTAATTGACAAATACCTGTACAGTATAAACAATTTACAATTCAAATAATAAATATAAAAAGATGCTGATGTTACAACTTACACTTAATGATCTGCACCACTTCTTTATGGTTGATTTGTGACACTATTGTTCCATTGACTTTGATGATGGAATCTCCCTTTTTAACTCCTGCTTGTGCTGCTGGTCCACCTAGATGTAGACAAGTATAAATAAGTAAATAATTCACTGTGACACAGTTCATGTAAGTTTATGTTATATCCTATTAAGAGGGTTATTAAAATTTCTTTAACACTGATCTGCATAATATGTAAACATGATCCGTCTTATGAAAAAAGTCACTTCACTTTCACCTTTGTTGTTTCCTGCAACACCTTCCTGTATACAGTACATATGAATACAGCATCAAGCTTTTTTAAACAAGGTATTCCCTGTTATCAATCCTCTCTTGGTAAATATTTCTATCAGTTTCTCTCCACTTTCATCCATTCCTACGGCATCCGTGGTTAGTATACCCCAAATCCCATCCACTTCCCTGTCACCCAATCTTGTGTTAAATCACCCTTTACTATCACTCATCTGTGCCACAAGTTTACAATGTAGTTGGACAGCTCTCCTAAAACCTCTCATTCCTCCTGTCTTCTTACTTCTCTTTTTTTCCTCCTTTCTTTTCACTCCTCTATCGTCTTACTTCTCTTTCTTTCCTCCTTTCTTCTCACTCCTCTATCGTCTTACTTCTCTTTCTTTCCTCCTTTCTTCTCACTCCTTGGGGGCATATGCACTAACATGAACCTTATCCATACTATTCTGGGACAGAGCCGTGTATTCCCTCACTTGAGTCCACATGCCATCACTCATCAGCACTACCACACCCTCTTTTACTCTCACCATTTCTCTCTTCTGTCAAAATATCCAGGATTGTTTCACTCACCACTACTTCAATCAGTTTCTTTCTATCCTCATCACACCTATGTACAACTAAGATTGAAAGTTTATAGCAACAGTTTCATATAAAACTCCAAGATACAAAAGGAAATTAGTAATGGTTTACGTGTCATATCAAAATTAAAACTTAAACAGGACATTGTATTAATAATAACAAACAAGGTTCTAACTAAATGTGAGGGTAAAAGGCCAAAAGGCAACTTGAAGAGGTTGAGGATCAAGAGTAACATGTCTTATGTACAGTACCGTACATCAAGAAATAAACATGATACATAACACCTAACCTGTTTGATTAAATAAAAACACGTGTTTAAAGATTGGCCTAGGTCAAGACAATAACTTTTCTATCAACTTAAGAAAGATTATATTCAAGAAACAATCTGAACCACATCATGTAGTATCATGCAAATTGGTCAGCTTGCCAGGCAGTCAGCTCAGAATTGATTGATTGTGGTAATATCATTCCTGGCAATGCAACAGTTTAAGTCATGTGTTACCAAATTAAATATAAAGGCTACAAATACTACAATCAAATAAGGCAAGGTAAGAAACACAAGTAACAAATAACATAGAACTTTCATAAAAATAATTTAAATGTTATAGATAAAACTCAGCTCAGAACTAAAACTTTAAATAATCACTATGGTCTTCAATTAGTATAAAACTTAGTGAAGATACTGATTAGTGGCATGGGTAAGGGGTCCATGATGCAAAGTGAAAAAAGGTTATGTGCTCTCTGCAAAAAAGGTGTTAATAACAACTCATTAATGTGCATTGAGTATGGAAGGTGGATACATATAATATGCAGTGATGTAAATGGCAAACTGCTTTCTTTAAGTTTAATGTATGTGCAGGTAAACATGTGGCCTTAGCAAGGCTGAAGAAACTCAACATTGGGAATAAATCCCTGAGTAACATGACAGTGCTAAGGCCAGCTCAGCTCCAAGAGTCAAAAGTGACTGAAGGAAGTTTAGGGAATTCTTGTCTTTATAGTTACCAATAAATGTGATGACTTAAAGTGTAGTCTGGTGATAACAATGATCATATGTGATGACTTAAAGTACATTGGCTTGTGATGGAGAGTTACTGTAAAGTATTTATATAAGTCGTGCTGACTGATAACAGTGACACTTAAATTGTAAGATATGTTATAAAATATCATTACATTTTAAATTAGGACCAAGGAGTAAACATTACTTTTACAAATGCAGGTTAAATTATGGTACTTTACAAAATATAGGTCCAGTAAATACTTTTATCTTGCAGGCATGATAACAATGTATAGTTCTGATACCTCTTGTAACCACCAATTAAAATGCTTATGTTATTCACCACCTAATGTCTTAAAACAATATCATGCTCATAGATTTATTATTATCTTTCTTAATTTCTCTTGAATATGAATCAATCAATTCAAACATTTTTAACACCTACGTCCCCCTCCAAAAAAATAAAATAAAATACTGCAGTGATAACAACATTAATTTCAATTCCGATTGTATTTCATTAAAATACCTGAGCAGTAGTTGTTATATTTAGGCAATATGGGTAAAATCAAACAAAAAATTAAACATTCCACACAACTGACTGCACTGTACTCATCACAAAAACCTGTCGCATATTATGTTACAGATAATCTAGCAAGACTACAGCACTGCCGTAAATGCCCACTAAAACATTTCCAATAACTATGAAAGATATATTTAGGATTCTTTTACGCCAGACATGAAATTTGCTGCACCTCCATACATTGTTTACTGATGAAGGATAAAAAAATAAAGTACGTACTGTATATCCAATGCTTACCATCTTTGACATCCTGGACAATGACAGGACTTTCCCCAGAGACAGTGACTCCATAGCCCCGCTCTCCCCGATGGATGACAACAGTGCGTAAGTTACTGGAGTCGTTAGAGTCATTGCCCTCCACTATCGACTCCAGCCTGAAAATTAAAGTGGTTATTAGTGTGGCAAAAATACAACATTTTCAGAATCGTTCATAAACTGTAGGTGGTGAGACTGTAACTGCTTCATCTGCTTATGTGACATGCACTCTCCAAAGGGAGTAAACTACTTATAGAAGGGTAGGTCTACAATGCAAGTATGACAGTCTTACAAACTCACCAAGGTTGCACAGTCATCAGTAGCTCTTCCTAATCAGGTACTGTATCTGAAAATAAATATGCTGGCAGATGCCCCTGTCTGTGCCTCTTTGAGGAACAAGGAAAGGGACATGCCTCATAAAGTGACCTACCTGGGATGAAGTACTGTACTGCCCTCTTCAAAAATATTATTCAACTATGAACAAGAGGAAGCAGAGGCTTGGTGTTGGTGTCTAATACTGTACTGTAAAGTATTACACAGGCTTTTGGTGTGGAATTTCCCCCTAAGGCCTTCTCAGAAAAGTATAATACTGTGTCTCAATAACTGAGATTTTAATCAAATCTTCATGTCTAATAAGCCACTAGCCAGTTTTATTTTTAATATAATGCGAGCAGTCCGTGATTTACGATGATCCCAGCTTATGAAAAAAATAATTTCCATTTTTCAATTTACGCAAAGTACAGTAATATCTCCATTAGGTGGAATCATTCAAACCCGGAATTCTCCAATAGCTGGAATTTAAATTTTCTCGGAAAATCGTACCCAAAGCTGGATTTTTTCCGGCTTTGGGAATGATTTTCCGAGGGGCACATTTTCTGGACAATTCTGAGAACATTTTCCCAGTACCCGGAAAATTCTGGGGATGGGGGATATTTTTCCGGGTTTGAGAGATGATGTAATGCGCAGTTTCTGGAACTTCCAAGAACATTTTTCCATTACGTACCAGGAAAATTCCGGAGATGAGGTTTTTTTTCCAGCTTTGAGAGAGTCGTCTCATTACCCGGAAATCTCTCATTCCTGTAAGTGCTCTGCACCAATTGTTCTGGTTACCAGAGATAGCACTGGTATATGAAAACTCTGATTACAGTACAGTGGTCCCTCGGTTAACGAACGCCTCGGTTAACGAAATTTCGGTTAATGAATTACCTTCCATAAGAATCTTCATTTCGGTTAACAAACAAAAATTCGGTTAACGAAATTCTGACGAAAATGTTTCGACATGCTTTGGCTTGCTCACCAGCTGGAAGATTAGTCCGCCAATACAGAAATCGATTCTAGGGCTTACATTCGTTAAAATTGGAGTAAATATCAAGAAGGTTGTACTATTCAACAATTTTCCAAGTTTTATATTAAAATTTTTAGTCATTTTAACACTTATTTAACAAAATTGCAGTACAGGGAACTAGTTTTTGGTGCGCCCAACAGCCACTTCACTCACCCACCAAGGACTCAGTTTGTATCTCTGTTCAGTGGAAGAAACATCTTGCTTGTGGGTCTCTTGAACACAGAGTATTTTTACATTTTTACAGTACAATTATTGGTCATTCTGATATTTATTTAACATATTGACAATATATAGTGCAGTGTAGTGTTGATTTAAAGTAAATAATCTTGAATTACACCTAGTGAACACAAAATTTTATGGGTGAAATGACGGCATCAAGCATGGGGTGATTTCTCTTCCATCCCCACTTCCTTCTCTTCTCCCTTCTCCTCCATCCCCACTTCTAATTCCCATCATCAACCAGGAGCCTTCTACATACACACCTCAAAGTAAGTGTACTTTACTGCATTTATTTTTTTTTACTTTGTAAGTACTTTTCGGTGAACTGGAACCAATTACCCAATATCCCATTGAAACAATGAATTCGGTTAAGGAACGACCTTCTGGACATTACAAGGAAAAACCATGACAATTATATATAAGGCAGCTGAGCGCATCCCTTGTGAGATGCCATCTATGGTTCAGTACAGGGTACAGTACAGCTCCTCCCCGACTTACGACGGGGTGAGGGACCCAAATCCAGGTCGTAAGTCGAAATGTTCGTCAGTCGAAAATGCTTAAATAATATATAGAAAATCTAAAATGGGTCTCTTTTTCTTCTCAGCACCACAAAACTCTCACTTTTAAGCTGGCCAGCCATTTTAAAGTGAATTACAAACGAAAATTTTGCCTGTATACTGACGTTGGGACTCGAAAATACGTAATTTGACAAAATTTTGGTACGACCGAGGCAGGTCTTAAGTGCGGGTGGTCGTAAGTCGGGGAGGAGCTGTATACAGTATACTCGTATTTACCGTACGGAAGGGACATTTTCGGTTTACAGTTAGGGTCCAAGAACGGAACTGTTCCGTAAACCGGGGAGTGTCTGGAGTGTGACATGAGTATCAATGGCTGATTTTTAACATACTGGGTAGTCCCCCACCTATTTACTTAACATGATGACTGATTATGGTAAACATCATTAATATTTAATGAAAAACAGAAATCCTTTTGAAAGTTCATTCATATGGTCTGAAGTAGGGTCCAATACCTAAACATTTAATTGAAAATATTAAGTTTAATTAACAATCAAGCAAAAAATGCAAGTGATATACAAGTACTGTACGGTTCTGTACTGTATACTGTATTCAATTCTTATTTCTCTACAGGATATTATAAAAAATGATGCAAGTATTATATATTAAACAATGTCAGACAGCACTATGCTAGCTTCAGAGGCAACTGTACCAGTATCTCCTCAGACAGGATGGACCTACAGATAGTATGTGTCATTACAAGATAATGATATTCAACAAGTATACAGTAAGACCCAAAGTCTCTGTCTTATTTACAAAAGATTAAACCATCACTAGACAGTACAGTACATTAACAAGAAAAATTAGTTATGTCCCATCCTGTGTAGATTAACAGTCTGCTTGTCACACACACTGGAGAAAGACCTAAGAATATGGACAGTTCCTTTCAGTGCAATTTCAACTTTATAAAAAGTTTATTCTTACGAGAAAATGAAAAGGTAGGAGTAATTCACAAAATTCAACCAGTAACTGTACTAATGCTACAAACAGTAGCGTACCCAGGAGGGAAGGAGGCACAGGGGGCATGCACCCCCCTTTTGATCTCTGTTATCTCTGTTGAACAATGGCATATACAATTAATGCCAATATATATTGGATTTTGCCGGAATAGGTTGTAAGGGGTCTGCATCTGGTGTACATGAATTTGTGGTGGGATGCGAGTGTGTTAACAGAGGGCAAGGGTCATGGGTTACAACAGGTGTGTGGGTTGGGGGAGGTGGGGCTCAAATGCTGCTCAGTGACCTGTGATTGGTTGTGGTTGGGGAGGGTCACAGCCCAGTCTGGTCTGCAGGTAAGCAAAAGCACAGAGTGAAAGTCAAATCGTCATCACCATTTGGTCATTATAAAACCAAAACGTATTATCCTTTAGTTGACTACCTGCTGTATAAAATGGAAGCAAAGTTTCCAAGGAACCATCCTGTTCTTCAACTTCAAAAACTAATTACATCTACGGTTGAAAAACTAAATACTGAGTCTGTTGTCTCTTCAGCCAGTATTTATAATCAAGATCTTCCCAACCCAACTGCCCTTCACAATGATTGATTGATTGACTGATTGTGGTAAACATCCCTGGTGACGCAACAGCTTAGGTTATATGCCGCCAGATTAAGGTAAAAGCTCACAAGGTTAAAACAGAGACTGCAAGGTCAAAAAGCAAAAAACAAAACAATAAATAGCTTAAAACATTTAAACATTAATATACAGGGCGAGTCAAAAGTCTCCATACATAGGGAAAATGATCACTTTATTATACAGTCACTTGTAAGTCACAAAATATGCTAAATATGGCCACCATTACATTCCAGGAAGATGGGGCGCCACCCCATTACGGTATCCGTGTAGTTGGAGGCCATGGTGTACCAGGTGAAGATACAAAACACAGACCACCTAAAGGAACGCATTCGTGATGCGTGTGCGCGCATAACACCAGACTTGTTAACGCGCGTTCACCATGAGTGGGAGTAACACATCCGTATGTGCATTCACTGTAATGGTGGCCATATAGAGCATATTTTGTAACTTACAAGTGACTGTATAATAAAGTAATCATTTTGCCTAAGTATGGAGACTTTTGACTCACCCTGTATAAAACTCAATGCTTGTGTAGAAGGCCAGCTTCCTCCACACTCCTTCCCCCAGCACCGTAAAGAGAAGGTCACGGGAGGCTTGGATACCTAGTGTAGTGTAGTGTGAGTGTAATGTAACTAGTGTAAGATATGAGAAATATGTCTATATTGGTAATTTAGAAGCAATCTGGGGTGCTTGATATATCCTACCGGACACTGTATACACGGAAGCTACCTGCAAATGTGACTTGAATGAAGGCATGTGAAAATTCTCTTCAACTTGGGGTGACATTGGACAGCTCAAAAATGACTTGGAAAGTACAATCCAAATATTATTTATGCATATTTTCAAGACTGCACTATATAAAACTTGTACAGTATCGACATTATGCACAGGGTTAGGTTCATCTCGTACCCAAGATTACTTGCACCCAATTTAAGAGATAATCCATACCTATTAGTATATATACAGGTAGCTGCTGTCACAGCGTTATTATAGCTTATTACAGTACAAACTATTCAAAGCCGGATTAAGGGAGGGGCCCCAGGCCCCTCAGACAAGGGGGCCCCCTGAATGAAATAAAAATACAATTGAATTTAAGACAGTTTGAAGGAGTTATATAATATTTTAGCTTCGTCTATGATTACAAAAAAAGATTATGTAAATCTTGCAGGAAAGGGCAGTGAAATAGTGAAATGTAATGCAGCACTTTAAAATGGTTGCATCTCATTACATAAGTATGTTCTTCCATCACACAAACATTGCACTGTAAGGACATATTTCACACTATGTGGTATAGAATAACTTTATTGCAATCTATAAATTTCAAGCTAATAGATTTAGCAGTTTCAATTTATAAACTGTGCGATCTAAGCGTTTAAAATAGTCATAAATATAGACATGGAGGAGTCTAGACAAGCATAAAAACAGATTTATTTTCCAGCCTCAGCTTTTTGTAAACAAATCAGTTAGTGTATATAATTCGGGGCTCCTCTCTGGTACTTCTTCTACGGAGTGGCTGACATTGCCAGGAATTTCTTCTTCTGACATGTCAACGTCAAGGATGAAATACAGTAGTACTATGGATATAAAAGAACAAAGAGCGAGAATATTGGCCAACGCATAAACAATTAGTAATGTTATTGTATGTTAATGATACTCTAGATAGATTTGTTTAAAAAGTCACAACCACCTGGTACAACAATTCATAATATTTAAAATAAATCATATTTTAAAAGGCACTAAATGCATACGTGAACTTAAAAACTGAGCTGTAGTTACAGATTTCTCTTCATATTTTTTCCATAATTAATTCAGTTGCTTTTGTCAATCCCGACTTGATTTGCATTGAGTGGATGGTAAAGAGTGCTCTGAAACTAAGTGTAACTGAAGATTAACCAGTTTGGCCTCTTAATAAGTGTGGCAGGAGAATATACAATTGAAGATTTTCACGCCCACACCTTATGTTAAGAGTTAAGACGTCGATGCCACCCTCCGCAATCATTATTTGTGCACACCTAACGTTAGTAGCCAGACCAGTTATCGATATTCCACACTGTAGATCTCAACCAAGTTGAAACGACGTAGTCAAAGAGAGCAGCACTGTATATATACGTATATGTATTTATGGGTACGAACGTTCTCGTAAACTGGGTATGAGTTATCTTGTAACCGGGTACGACTTGACATGTTCTGATGGGTACGATTTGCTTGGACACGAGTTGTCCAGCACCCTTATGCATGGTAATGATAACAGCTCAGGGGGTAAAACAAGAACATGTATACTGAGCACCAGTGACCCATTAAATTTGTTTTACTGGCTCTCCTGAATCCAATGGTACACCCTGTATCAATCACTAATGCAACCACAACTTTAGAAGTTTGAAAACCAGAGCAGAAATATATTTCAACTTACATTGTTATTCTAAGACATAAAATTCACAAAGCAAATCATCTTTTGGAGTATAGATTCTTAACTATCCAATCCAAAGGGAAGTTCTTATCCTTGCTTTAATATGAATAATATATGAAAATTCCACTAGAGAGAATAGCTGCTGTATATATTCACAGACCAAGATCACTATCAAACAATTATTCCGCCCTTTTCTTATCTGGCAGAGGATGTGATAAGCAAGACTGCATGGTATGCACAATGCTTTAATCTCTTTATCAGCAATAGGTTTACTCAATAAACAATTTACCTGATAAATATATCCTAAATCTGCAATACAGGTTTAATTATAATATAATGTATTACTGCTGTCATCTCTTTATCAGATACTGCATCATATTAAATAAATCCATTAATTTGTATATACGGTACAGTATACCAGTTACTGGTGTATACAGTATATATACCCTGTATACATTGTCTCTGAGTGAAGAGACAGTATATATACCCTGTATACATTGTCTCTGAGTGAAGAGACAGTATATATACCCTGTATACATTGTCTCTGAGTGAAGAGACAGTATATATACCCTGTATACATTGTCTCTGAGTGAAGAGACAGTATATATACCCTGTATACATTGTCTCTGAGTGAAGAGACGGTATATATACCCTGTATACATTGTCTCTGAGTGAAGAGACAGTATATATACCCTGTATACATTGTCTCGACAGTATATATACCCTGTATACATTGTCTCTGAAGAGACAGTATATATACCCTGTATACATTGTCTCTGAGTGAAGAGACAGTATATATACCCTGTATACATTGTCTCTGAGTGAAGAGACAGTATATATACCCTGTATACATTGTCTCTGAGTGAAGAGACAGTATATACCCTGTATACATTGTCTCTGAGTGTATACATTGTCTCTGAGTGAAGAGACAGATATACCCTGTATACATTGTCTCCTGTATACATTGTCTCTGAGTGAAGAGACAGTATATATACCCTGTATACATTGTCTCTGAGTGAAGAGACAGTATATATACCCTGTATACATTGTCTCTGAGTGAAGAGACAGTATATATACCCTGTATACATTGTCTCTGAGTGAAGAGACAGTATATATACCCTGTATACATTGTCTCTGAGTGAAGAGACAGTATATATACCCTGTATACATTGTCTCTGAGTGAAGAGACAGTATATATACCCTGTATACATTGTCTCTGAGTGAAGAGACAGTATATATACCCTGTATACATTGTCTCTGAGTGAAGAGACAGTATATATACCCTGTATACATTGTCTCTGAGTGAAGAGACAGTATATATACCCTGTATACATTGTCTCTGAGTGAAGAGACAGTATATATACCCTGTATACATTGTCTCTGAGTGAAGAGACGGTATATATACCCTGTATACATTGTCTCTGAGTGAAGAGACAGAATATATACCCTGTATACATTGTCTCTGAGTGAAGAGACAGTATATATACCCTGTATACATTGTCTCTGAGTGAAGAGACAGTATATATACCCTGTATACATTGTCTCTGAGTGAAGAGACAGTATATATACCCTGTATACATTGTCTCTGAGTGAAGAGACAGTATATATACCCTGTATACATTGTCTCTGAGTGAAGAGACAGTATATATACCCTGTATACATTGTCTCTGAGTGAAGAGACAGTATATATACCCTGTATACATTGTCTCTGAGTGAAGAGACAGTATATATACCCTGTATACATTGTCTCTGAGTGAAGAGACAGTATATATACCCTGTATACATTGTCTCTGAGTGAAGAGACAGTATATATACCCTGTATACATTGTCTCTGAGTGAAGAGACAGAATATATACCCTGTATACATTGTCTCTGAGTGAAGAGACAGTATATATACCCTGTATACATTGTCTCTGAGTGAAGAGACAGTATATATACCCTGTATACATTGTCTCTGAGTGAAGAGACAGTATATATACCCTGTATACATTGTCTCTGAGTGAAGAGACAGTATATATACCCTGTATACATTGTCTCTGAGTGAAGAGTGTGGGAGGTGTTTTAATGGTTGATATTAGAAATTCGTGCTATATGTGTCAGGATAACCATTGAACAAATTAAGACACCCAGATTAAAGTGCAGGATTCCCATTTGTTAGTTGTAGGGATCCCAACCATGACATTAATTTACCAAAAGACATCGTTAGTATTATAGTCACACCCAATTACTACATTTATTTAAATAAGATTAGCTTATGTCTTAAATATACCAGTAAACAGTATATATAAATATCAATCCTACCAAATAAAAAATACTGTATATGAATAAAGAATATATACTGACACGATAATTTGATATTATTGTGTAAGTTGTTACATTAGTTTAGGTTATTAGTGAAGGAAATGTCATAGAAGAAAAAGGTGTCTTAGAATTGTCTTGACTATTGGTTACAAAGATAAAATTCTCCAGATTTGGTTAGTGGCAATTTATACAAATATACCAATAATTTAGTCAGTTAAAATAGAAACAAGAAAGAGAACTTGTGACCATATACAGTAGATAGGAATGATAAGGTTAGGTATTACTAGACAATATATATAGACCAACATGAATTCTACACAAGTTATGTATAAACAGCTACAACATCTTACTCTTTTCATGTTTATTCTCAAAATGTGTATATATCTAGACAATAAATAGAGCCAAAAAGAAAATAATTCCTCTTTTAATATTAACCAACACATGAAATACACAAGTGGCAACTCTTCTCTACCATATAAACAGTTAACTCCCTATACATACGGGTAAATTACATCCAAAACTCTATTATAACATTAAAATATATCCCTTTTATTAACTACAGATTAAACTAATGTAAAAATTGAAGAAGTACACTATAGGAAGACACACCCCATGCATTACAGGACAACACACCTTAATAACTACAACACCACCTTATTACACTTACCTCTCATCCATTCTGAAGTCTCATTAATGAAAATCCAAATAATCTCTTGACTGTCATAGAAAAATGTTCATTAATATAAAGATTATCCTTCACAATACACTACTTGAATTAACTGTTAATTTCTCAGGCCGTTTAGACAAATATAAACCTTATCACACCTACAAATACTGTATATTTTTTATTAATTTTTTTATACACATCTACAGTATATAAAGTAATGAGGAAATAGAGATAATCAACACTACACTGTCACTTTCAATCCTTCACTCTGTCATTAACACAAACATTAGTGGCTGCCATGTTGGCCGCTCCACACACTCCCCTCCGCCACACAACTAGATCTTACCTAGAAATGACTATAAACTCTCTATATTCCTATATCAATCTTATTTTACTTTATTAAATATTTCTATTAATATATTTGAATTATATTTTAAAATATTTCATTGATAAAGTATGTAGTAAAACCCGGATTTTAAGTGAGTCAAGTGTTTGTAGTTTTAAATAAGTTGAAAAAAGTAAATATGGAAATAATTATTTGAAAAATATTACAATACTTAACCTAATTAATATTAAACCTATTTACATGTATTTTTAAGAGGAGAATTCCCTAAAGTTTAACGTGAATATATCAACCGCGAAATTTTATTCCAGCAAAATTATACGCTGACATCACTGTTAACAATGCGAGTTGCTTACTTCTATAATGCCTATTAAAGGGGAATAGGCTCTATTATTAAACAATACTTTTTTACTATAATGGATGTTATATACGTTGATCATCACTTCATGTTATGCTGTAAAATGAAATCTTGATCATATATAAGTCCTGTTACGCTCTGATGAATCACATGACATTCAACTGCAGAGTGTAACTTGATTTCCGGATTTTCTCACAGTACATTGACGTATTTAATTCATTGGTATTTAACAATGAACTAGGTTTGTTATTTTCGGAAAGGAGAGCTGAAGCCTTACAGTCCGATTAAAGCTTTGACGTCTATATTCAATGCCTGAACATGATACTTGCTAAAGCTTGTGATTGCAACACAATTTCAATGACCTACGAAATGCCCCAGTACTTGGATCATATAAAATTCACTCTATTGTATAGTTTAGTTATACAAACACTGAAAGAGAAGTACAGTCTTGATGAAATGTGAATCTGATCAATTTACAGTATCAATAGGGAGAGCGCCCTTCCACGCTCTACTTATTAACAAGTTATAATAAGCTACACTCAACTCTGTATGCACTGAATCATTTCAGTTGTACGCGAATAATTCTTCATAATTAAGCTAAAAAATTATTTTAGTATTTTCTGCTTATGAAATAAAGAACAATAATGAAAAAAACCTGAGGTGAAATCTCTAGCAGTACGCAACACACAAGTTCACTGCGTCTTAAAGGACAAGTTCATTTATTACGTTGTTGTATTTGTAAATATGTTCATTAATACCTTGTATGTTAGATGGGCAGTTCATAAGAGCTTATTTTTATTATCTTCATCTGAATTGTTTATGACTCTCTCTCTCTCTCTCTCTCTCTCTCTCTTTTATTTATTGGGCACTCCCCTTCATCCTTGTGTAAGGTGAAGCGCAGAAGCGTTTACAGCGCCCAACAGGGAAGCATGCTAAGTTCATGCTTGCCTTTATGTCTCATGAGTTAAGGGCGTAGAAGCCTGAAGAGTCAAGGGCGTAGAAGCCTGAAGAGTTAGTGGTTTATGTCATCAAGTTATTGGAAGCTCCAACAACTTGTCCCTGAATACGAATTCGCAACTTTAGATTTACACCAGGTACCTACTTTACTGCTAGGTGAACAGGGACTAATGGGGGCTAGGAAGTATGTCCAAACAACTTCCACCGGCCCGGGAATCGAACCCGTGACATCTCGCTTGCGAGGCAAGAACGGTACTGCTTCTACCACCGGTCCCCCCTCTCTCTCTCTCTCTCTCTCAAACATTTCACATCCCCTTTCCACATTATTTTCATTTGACATAATCATTATTTCTAGTTCTTGTATAATCACAGCGAATAGGTTATTTCTTCTCATCTTCTCTTTTTATTTGGTAATGACGTATTGAAGCCTAGATTTATGTTTTCTCTTTGGTTCTAAGCATTTGATTCTTCAATTTGATCTTATTTTTATGAAAATCCTGATTGCACATGCAAAACTCTAATTTACGTGTGAAAAATATCGACCTCAGTAAGCGGACGCTGAACTGCCTCTGCCGCAGTAGCCTTTTAACTGTCTGGCGATATCTATTGTCTAACATAACTCGGATTACAATCAAGGCGAAATTATGGAAGGAAGAGAAGGTAATTTGCATATCTCAGTACTTAACTGTACTGATATCCTCAGTACTAAAATAAGGTGTAAATATCGACAACATATAGCCTACCTAGATTTGGCCAAGGCTTTTGACAGCGTACCCCTGAAAGGCGAGAATCAAACTGGAAGAGTACGGGATTCGGGGAAGTGTCCTATCGTGGCTCGGAGACTTTCTGCATGTCAGCAAGCAATGAGTGGTGATAAATGGTATGAAATCGTCATGTGTACCTGTGACTAGCGGGGTATCACAGGGCAGTGTATTGGGCCGCTGTTGTTTGTCCGTTTAATTAATGACATGCCAGAAGCTATATACTCCTCCAGACAAATGTTTACTGACGATGTCAAGTTATTTAAAGGAAAGTAAGAACCAAATAGACTGTGAAGAGCCGCAGAAAGATCTCTATGAGCTTCAAGAATGGTCGAGCAAATGGCTGCACTTCGGCACCTCAACTACCCAGAGAGATTGGAATACCTGAACTTGCCTAGCTTATACTACAGACGGGCAAGGGGTGACCTAATTGAGGTGTATAAGCATCTCAGGGGGCACTACTCGTCGAATATTCTTACCTGGAATTGGCGGACGCCCACCCCATTAGGGGACACGGCTCAAGGTTGAAGAAGCCGCAAGTCCAGAAATCTGAGGAAAACTTTTTCGGGGTGAGAGTTGTGAACTCTTGGAACAACCTGCCAGATAGTGTTATGACGGCACCGAGTGTGAGCTCTTTCAAAACCAGACTTGACCAACACTGGAGCAGGTTCAGATACATTCAGGAGCCAGTGCATGTCCAGTACTTGCCAACAGTGCGTGACAGAGACGTGACCAACCGACCAAGCGGCTAACGAGCCGGTCAGTGGCGAAGAGGATAAAGTAAAGGTAAAGTCTCGACATAAAATTATTATAATCGCCAAGGTTTGCGTAACATTAAACAGATCACTTGAAGATTAGGCACCTCGATTTATTTCACCTAAATATTATGCACCGCAGCTTATTTCACCGGAAGACTAGCCACCGCAGCTTATTTCACCGGAAGATTAGCCAACCCAGCTAATTTCAGCTCAAGATTAGGCACCCCCATGTTATTTCACCTGATGACTGGGCAATTTTCTGAACTTGTGGCTTCTTCAACCTTAAGTTGCAGAACGGACATCCGTCAGATCCAGGTATGAACACTTTACTGAGTACTGTAATGTTCTTCGAGATGTTTATAAACTTATAGTAAGTCACCATTTGCCCGCCTATAGTATAAGCTAAGCAATTGTAAGAGTTCTAATCTCTCTGGACACCTGAGGTGCCTTAGTGAAGTCACCAGTCTCGTGATGCTCCTTTGAACGTTTGCACTCAACTGACAGTCTCTAGCATATATCTCGGGGACCAAACGGGGTGACAGTACTCCAAACAGGGAAACATCTCACGTTTGAAGAGCATTACGAGGTACGGGCCATCAAGGTATCTGAACACTCTTTTTATATGACACACGAGTTTAGTTGCTTGATTCAGCTTCTTCTCACAATGGTCCAAGAACTTTAGCTCGTTGTCGATATACACACCCAGGTCCTTTTCACATTTCGATTCGTTGGGACGTGATACGCCTCCTTACTGTTGTTTCGACCTACTGTAGATGCATCCTTTTGCATTTTGTGACCACTCCTGAAGCTGACAAAGATTTGTAGCTATTCACAGTCCGTTTAGTTTTTAATTTCCGTGAATAACTTGGCATCGCCCGAGAACATTTGTATGGAGGAGTGTATAATTTCTGGCATGTTGAATATGAAACAAATAAACAACAATAGACCCAGTACACTGCCCTGTGCTACCCCACTTATCACAGGTACGCATGCCGATTTCGTGCCATTGATCACCACCACCACCAAGGTCTCTATTGACCTTGATCACCACACACTGTTTGCGGCCTTGATCACCACACACTGCTTGCGGTCACCAAGAAAGTCTTCCTTCCACGCTAGGTATTAATCCACCAAATTTCGTAGCCTTCCAGTTTAATTTTCAACCTTTCATGAGGTACGCTGTCGAAAACCTAATTGGCTAAGTCCAGATATATATTGTAAATATTGCTTTCACGCTTTATCATCTGGCTCCACACATCCATCACCTTAGCTTAAGTAATTGCGTCAAGCAGAAGCGCGTCTTGGCATAGAAACGTGTTGACATCCCTTTATTAGGCTATTTCTTAATAGATGTTTCATCGAGGCATTTCGTTTAATGCTCTATAGTACAGTACTTTACACACACTGCTGGTTCATGTAAAAAGGTTGTCGACATAGTAAAAAGAAAACTGATCACCTGAAGATCTCCATCCCAGCTAATTTCGCCATAAGATTTTTAAACACCCTAACGTTACCCTAACCTAACTTAACCTAACCAACCTCCTCTCATACTTTTACTTTTACTTACTTTTATCCTCTTCACCACTGATCGGTCACGTCTCTGTCACGTACTGTTGGCAAGTACTGGACATGTACTGGCTCCTGAATGTACCTGAACATACTCCAGTGCTTCTCAAGGGGTGGAGATTCTTCAGATGATCCGTCGAAATTTTTATGGAATACAAAAATAGTAATTATGTCATTAAATCAGAGAAAATACTGTTAGGGAGGTTTAAAAGGATATGGTTGTAGTTGTAAGCGACCTCCACGTGATGTAAACATAGTAGCTGTCAGAACCTCAGGGACTTTACCTCTGACTGGGTGCTTTAGCCTCTGAGGTAGGTATATTTAATGATTCTGTGGAAATTACTATACTTTTTTACACGGAAACTATATAATTTATTTGTATCTTGATTGTTGCTAGTTTGGTGGATAATTTTTTTTTTCATTTTGCCCAAGATTTAATGCAATGGAGATTAGTCTTTTTATGTGGAAACGGTAATTTTTTGTCATGTTAGGCTAAGTTGAAATTATGTTTTTCCGAAGGTTTATGATGTGTTTCTAACGATTCTGATCTTCATTTCTATCTTAAATTGCTACATTTTGCGATTTTGCCTCACCCATAACCCCTTGTTCCCACTGGGGGTCCCCCATTATCGTTGGATAAGAGGGGTAGCACAAAAAGTAGTGATTAATGGTAGAAATGAAGGTCAGAATCATTCACAACACATCAAAAACCTTCGGAAAAACATAATTTCAGCTTCCAAATAGGTGGATGACCGAAATGATAATTTTACCCTTCCGAATTAAGAATCCTACAACCGTTTTCCATTTTAAAGCAAAAAAATCATAACCTAACCTAATACCTGTAGTTTCACTGATTCACCAGTCCCTTTCTCATAATACCTAAATAAACTTTGGCTATAGTCATTATACATTTCCATTTTATGAAAAATATCGTCAGTTTACTTTCACTGCTGCAGTCTCTTTAACTTATCCAAGGCAATAATCCTGCAGTTAGTCCCCAATTACGAAATCCCCCCAAAAATGAAAAAAATAAGGTTATTCTGGCAGTGTTATGTACAGTAAGTCAACATAAACTGATATATGGTGCTCGATTGTAGGTAGCAAGAGAGGAGAGCAAACAAAGGAGATATAACCAGAGTTGTAAAAAGTACCGGACTTTGTTACTTAAGTAAAAGTATTGTTACAATGGAAAAACGTTACTCAAGTAAAAGTAAAAGTATCTTTTCATAAAGTAACAACAAAATATTAATTGTCTCAAATATTAAAATAAATCCCACAGTAAATTATAAAAAAACTAGTTAACTAAAGATGAAAATAAAAGACTCAGCATTACACTTGTTTATTTGTAAATCTTTCTATTGAGATTAATCAATAACTGATTCTCGAAATTATGGCTGTCTAATCAGGATCTTTTAGGCCTAAATATAATCCCAGCATGACCTACCAAAAGAGAATATGTTCAGCCGCTCTTCTCCCTGCAATCCATCGCAGGGATGGTGAATGGGCTGAAAATATATCCATCCAACACTATGATCAGTTTCTTCCTTATCCACACAAGTATCGTCGACGTGGACTTATGGTCTACAGACATAATGTTGTCTCTGCTCACATTAGGTTAGAATACAGACCTATCTGTCAAGTATCTGAGGCGGGGATGATCCACACACTATTCCTGTTAACTCTGTAACTGTCCCAACACTAACACCCTTCAACTCTACTGTATTGCCTTGACTGTCTCACTGTCAGGGACCTCCTACCATAGGGAGAGTCACTGACCACTATATGTCACCACCTACTTATTCGCACTAGTTAAGATTTAATTCTTGTATGGTACCCACACTTTGGTGGGTGCTAACTCCCATTGTCCTTAAATAATATCAATATTGTCTCCATATCACAAGCCATAAGGTTTCCTGTGAGACAATGAATACCAATGTATTAGTGTCTGACCACATGGTCCTGTGACTAGGCTTATTGCCCCCTGGGGTGTAATAAATTAATAAAACAATAAATAAGTAGCCAGCATGACTAAACAGAAGCTCACAAGCAGCAGATGCAGGTAGCAGGGTGTTAAGCTTGAGAGATAACTCACATAATGTTGGGAAAGACCTCAGTAGCTTCATTCCATCCCCTGGCCATGCCAAGTAACTATCAAGCTCCTTCAGTTGAGGAGTTTGTGGATGATTGTTGCCTCCATAGTGACTGAGTCTAAGACTCACTGTGAACTGTCCCTCTAATTGGGATGTGGCTGTGGTGACGTCGCTTTTCAATTCTAGTTGATGAGTGGCTGAATTTTTTTGCACCACGTAATATTTAGTGGGTACTGGGGGTTGGCAATGGTACACTCAGTTTACACATGTGTATAGACACAGGCTTTATATCTAAGATGGAATTATGTAGAGCATTTTAGAATCACAGCCTCTTTGAAATTCATTTTAGGTACAGTTATATGCAAAGAAGAACTGATGTGTAACAGGAAGACCAAGATCCTGAAGGAAAGGTGGGGAGAAGAGGGGGATTTGATGGGGGGGGGGAGAGATAAGAGGGTAGGCTAGGTGAGGTGGGTGGTCAAGGTGCTAATGGTCACAAGAAGATCAAAGGGAAAGTTCGCGATCATGGCTACTGCCACCTGACCTGACCTGATGTCACCTCACCTCACCTCATGAGACCTCTCGGTGTCTTCCCACACCCACACCGTACCCTTCATGGCTCCACCCACACCATACCTTCCATCCACACAACCCTTTTACAATGGTTAATAATTAGTGAATTATTTTAAAAATATATTATTAGTTTGCCACAGACATTAAAACTCTTTGTTTCGGTCATGTAATGAGTAACAATTTTTGTTTTTCAATTGTATTGGAGTAAAGGTATTAGAAAACTATACTTAAGTATAAGTGCTAAAAAACTTGAGTATGTTTTAAAAAGTAGATACCCAAAGATGTTACTTGAGTACAGTACTCAAGTAAATTTATTTATTGTATACTTTACAACTCTGGTTATAACACTGCTGCTCTGCTGTATCACCTAGTGATTTTGTTTGTCTATGATGGAGGTAGTCTTGTCCTAAAAAAATAAATATAAATAAAATATAATAAATAAATAAATAAAATAAATCAGAAACTCCAGTGAGCCAGTTCACCCCTGATCCTTGCTTGGATCACCCCAGGGTGACTAGTCACCCCAGTTGAAAAGCACTGGCCAAGATGACTCCCAGGCCTTGCCTGGCGAGTGATTTGAATTTTCAATCAGACCAACATTCAGAAAAGCAAAATCACCTTCAGATCGAGAAAAGAGAGGTGTAAGAATAGAGTTTTTGGTTAATGAATTTTCTGATATGGAGGAATACTGCACTTGTACAATATTGTAGGTGTACTGGTATACAGTATCTATTTAGCTTATTTTGACCTCATATACTGTATTAGATAATACCGTGGGAGAATGTAAACTTCAGGGCTCCCACAGCTGTGATCCTTGGGTCAACATATGGTTATGGTTTTCTGCACCCCACAATTTTTCTCCATTTCAGTCTTGTCAGTTTTTTCTCAACAAATAATAATATTACAGTATATGAAAATTGGCATTAACCTAGTGGGATGGACCAATTATTGATGCATCCTTCTGTTGTTTATTCATACCAATTATCCCCTCATAACTACAGTGTGGTACTCTATAGCAAATATTAAAACTTTATTGTTTCATTTCATTTTATAATGCCATAGGATTAATATCTTGTGCTAATAAAAGTACTGTAGCTTTATTCAATTGATTGTTTCAGTAATAATGATAAACTGTGGGGCAACAATGGTAGATATTTCAACCTGCACTCCAAAATCAAACTACATACTGTACTGTACTGTACTGTACCATACCATACAGGGGTCACCCGGCTTACAAACGGGTACCGTTCCTGAGGACGTTCTTAAGTAAAAAATGTACGCAAATTGAAACACGTGCTATGTGTCTACTGTACTACAGAACAATGTTGAAAATCCCACTACAGTATATCATAGCCTAAGTCCTTATATACATCTAAAATTACTTAATTTAAGAGAACAGAAGAAATCGAAGGATAAAATACAGTGAATGAAAGTAAAAGATAAGTCATCAGGTAAATAAAATACAGGTACTGTACTGTGAATTTAAGGTTTAACATCGTTCATATTGGCGGGCGTTTGTAAGCCGTACGTTCGTAAGTTGGCGACCCTCCATACTGTACTGTACTGTATTTAGTATGGTAATAATGGGATTTAAAATGGCTGATTATAGTAATTTATAACTTAAATATTTAAAAAATTACTGTACACAAGATAGAGGTAAAGATAAGAAACCCCGTAAAATTTTCACATTATAGTGAAAGTTTTATTGCCATGTAACTGAATAGTGTAATTTTCTAATTTTCTTATCCATATTTATGAATTGTAAAATAGACCTTGTAGTAAGATACATTATAGTAAGGAGTTTTGGGGACTGATGGAGAATGATGAAAGAATTTACAGGTATAAACAAAGTTTGCTCCCCATGGTGAAATTGAGAGTCATGGAATGAGTCTCTGAACTTACCCTGGCCGTTGTCTGGTGTGGTTGTATTGTTTTATCTCATTTGGCGGTTATGCTGCTTCATTTTGGGAAGCAAAGAACTTTCAAGCCCAACTTTACAACTTTTGCTATTGCCAATGAGTTAGTTGTGCAATAACAAAATGGCCACTTGAAGCTTCAATTAGTATATTATATTACACCGGGAAAATTTGTCATATGAAATACTGTCCAGTTGCTACAGTACAGTACTAGAGTAGTGTTAATATTAAAGACAGGAATACATCAGTCTGTACTGGGAAAGGCTAGAGGTGCAGAACAGTTATAATTTTAGTTATTTTAGAATGTTATGAGAGTAGGAAAACAGTTTATTAGATACATTACAGGCAGATATAGTATACAGTATGTACATGTGTAAAATATTTTAGGTTGCTTTGCTTTACTTGTAGCACAATGGCAAGATGGCAAGCAGAGACTGGATTTCTTCCAACGTCCTTTCCTGCAAGACCACTGAATCTACCTCGAGGACTTGATGTTCAGTCTACTATTTCATCATCAACTTTTAGGGTAAGTTTTGTGGGTCTCAGAATGAAAATGTTGTGGAACAAATTGCAAGGCATGTATGTAGAGTACAGTATTATGCACTGTATATGGTATACTAATGCCTGTTAGATAATTATAACTGGAAACCATGTCTTTTTAGGATATATATTTTCATAGAACCACCTAAGTCTAGTGGGTAAGAACCCATAAGGTCCCTTGGAATAGCAGTTATACAAAACAAATGATTAGTTTCATCTTTCCCTGAAAAAAGGTCTTCTTAGAAATAGGAATTTCCATATTATCATTTTCACTCCAACCACTTGTCAAGCCTTAACCTAGGACAACAGGTACAACCCAGTCCTTAGTGCTAGTCATGCACTCCCTGGATGTGGCACTGCCTGTCCTGGGCAAATTTGCCCTGACTGGGAATAAGTAAGTGGTACAGTATGTCTTTTTTTTTATCAGGCTGTGCAGTGCCCAACAACCTGGACGTGCCACGACTAGGGGTTGAACAAGTAACTTTACATGTCTGTGTGCCCGGCATTTGTCTGGCAGACAAGTTTATGTTTTAAAAGGAAAATACCCAGATGGGAATTTGTCAGGTGCTGTGTTACCCCTCCTACCCATACATGTTTAACTAGTGAGGTCCATCAATCAGTTAGGTGATGAGGGGGGGGTGTATTTGCTTGACCTGATGCCACATAATGGCATCACAACTGAGCTGATCCCTGACTTTTTGTTCCCACAATGAACTGACCTGCTAAGAAGGCTGGTCACTCCTATTTCTATTGGTCACAATGACCTGACCTGTAAATCTGTATAAAAACACCCACTAAATGCTGTGCAAGCAGAATTGTGCTGCAAATTGAAGTGAAAACTCAACAAGAGCAAGAAGGAAACTTTAACAGGTTCTTCAAAAGCCACTGGAGGGAGAAGGGTGAGGGTAAAAGGCATTTACACAGACACAACTGATCTGTAAGTTGATACACACAATAAATTTGAATGTTTTAATATGTTTATTTAACTTTTCCCAGAAAAAAAATTAGGCAACAAATTAAAAAAAAAATTATGGGTAAGTAAAAAACAAAATACAGGTATCAGGAAAAATAATTGTCAAAAGTCACTTACCCAGGACAAGCACATGTTCCACACTGTCTGCTCAGTCTGGTTTTAGTACTTCTGAAGATTCATTTATACCTTTATCTGAGCCTCACACCCATTGATTTTTTTAGAGAATGAGAAGTTTTACTGAAAAGGAATAGCTACATACTGTATATATTTTAGGATAACAATGTTCAAATCTGATTGAAGAGTCATTGTACCAATTTTGTATTTTACCATGTCTTGATGTAAATGATTTTCACAGTAAGTAATGCAACCTCTCTAACTAAGACAGTTTTATAGCCTAAGGACTATACTATTTCTACGCTAACCTGACTCGTAAGCCATGTCTCTCGTCTATAGCTACAAATAGCTGATTGGTTCATAGAAAATGTTCGTGTAGCTGTTCATTTATTCAAATGTGTTCACAATTGGTAAGCAGACCTGTTATTCTCTAAAATAATGTTAAATATCTGGACTAGCAAAATGTAAATGTACTGCTAATGCCTCGAAATCATTTACATTTTGCTAGTAATTGTGAAAATTTTTAGTTTGAATAAATGGACACGAACATTTTCTATGAACCAATCAGCTATTTTTATAGAGGAGGGGCATGGCTTATGGGCCAGGTTAGTGTGGAAATAATATTGGTAGACCCTTGATATTCACCAAGATTTCTGTGGTTTTCCAAAGATATTTTATATTTGATAAAATATGGTGTACCTATACTGTATTTAAATGATCAGATTGTTTGCATATATAATGAACTGACTTCCATTCCTTTAGTTTTAAGATAATGATAGTCTACAATGAAACAGTAGCTGACTTATTATGTTGCTATGTAATTATTCATAGATTCATGTCCTTAGTGAGTTCAAGGAATTAAAGTTTCACAAATTTGGTGAACCTTCATTCCTCATTTGGGACCTTGTTGACTCTAGGTACTGTAGTGGTTGTGACTAGAACTGGTACAAGGAAAACACAGTACAGTACTGTATATAGAATATTAGACTTCTTCCTTGTATAAACAGATCCAGGATTAACAGGCTTTGTTGCTCCATCCACCCTATTAAAGTTTTGCTGTGTGAACCTTCCATAATTACCAAGACTTTTGTGATGTCATATTAAATGAAAATTATACTCAGTATTCTGCATTACAAAAGAAAACAAAGTCTATTCGTTGGGCAGATTGAGACGAGACTAAATTAAAGTTCTATCTGAGTACAGTATATTAAAGCAGAGATTTTACTTGATATCTAAACAAGTAGACCTGTTGTACTATAGTAATTTAGTGTTGCCTACTAAGTAATTAACTTTAATTGTTACTTGTACACTGCAGCAACTAAAAAATATATTTAACATTCTTTCAAAATAAATGAAGGGAGATTCACGTTGTTTAGAGGTGCAAAATTGGCGAATCAAGGGCCCAGGGGTGCCAAATTACTTAACAAATTAAGTGCCAAAAGAACATTATCATACCTATGTTAACTATGATTCTTAAATTAGTTTCAAGCTTTCAAGGTTGGGGTAAAATTTCCAAGATCTAGCAACAAATTTCAAGCAGTGGCCCCACAAGTGACTGTCTGGTCATCATCTCCAACATACAAACAAGCGCCCTAGCATTTCAACAATTGAGCTCTGATACTTCCATTTCTCAATAAGAATTGGGAAAGGATATCATAGTTTGGTTTAATAAGTTCACGAAATAATTACCCAATCAAGTTTCACATTATTTGACATAATGGTGCACATTGACAGAGAGTGGGAATACGACAGGGATAAACTGGAGCTGGTGGAGACCCAGTAGCACCCATGCTGGACAGGCTACAGGCCATCATTGAAAAGCAGGGTTGGCTGGACTGGCTACTGAATGAATAATTTTCGTGACAACATGTGTTTTGTATAATTTTTATAATCTACAGTAAATAATAGGGATTGTTTGAATCATTGTTTTACCCTTTTTTTTACCTGTAAATATTTACAAAGATATTGAGTGTGTATAACATTAGCTAAGCAACATTTACGGTTGCCTATATGAGTATAATTAATAATAAAATATGGTCTTGCTGCTTTCACCTTATATTTCCATCCAACCTAATCAGTGACACACTTTTATATGAATCGGGTCAATCATATGTCAGCTATATTTTCATCATGTCATCCATTGTAGGGATCAAGCCAAGGTTACATGCAGTAGACCCTATGATAAGGCCATTACCATGGAGGGTGATAAAGCATATCTTATGACCCATATTATCCCTCACATTCATGCTTAGTTTACTGGCTACCATTCTGAGGGACAAGACAGCTTGGAGGATTCTGATATTATCGTTGCAAACTCCAGCCTCCAAGACACACACTCTCCATTGTGTCTTCTCTATTATAAAGAATATGTCATGATTATCTAATACTGTAATGATGTAACCTATTATGTCAAATAATGTAAAACTTGATGGAGTAAATTGTTTCATGAATTTATTAAACAAAAGATGACATCCTTTCCCAATCCTTATTGAGAAATGAAAGTATCAGAGCTCAATTGTTGATCTGCTTGGGTGCTTGTTTGTGTGTTGAGTGCAATGGACAGATAGCTACCCATCGCCCAATAAGGGTGGGGACAGACTTTACACCCTCTCCCTTGACTGTATCAAGAACTTTCGTCCAGGACTGTACAGTTACCTACAGTTCTTTTTCTACTTATTCCTGTTGGTTCACATGGAAGATAATGGATGTAAAGAATCTGTGTACACAAGAGAGGAACCTCTCACTTTGAAGTAGTTTTCTAATGCCATCTTCTTTGTTTTCAGCCATGGTCTCCAACACCTTCTAGTCAGGATATTATATTGTTAGCAGAATTTTCTGAAATTGAAGGACCTATGCCACTCCTAACAATACCTCAGTCACCTCTGGTACAACTTGACCTTAATGAGTTTGTTGTGAAAGTCTTGTGTACTGACTATCTGAATACAAGGTAAGTTACACAGGTAACCAAAAATGCAAGGTTGATGGGTTTGCAGTTACACATGTCTCATGTTGTACAATTGTAAAAAAAATTCCATGGGGGAAGCTGAATCAGACTTGATACAGGTGTTGGGAGCAGACTAAAGCCCAAGCTTTGATTTAAACTAATTTAACAAAGTAAAAAAAAAATGAAAATATCCATTTGGTGCTGCACAATTTATATGTATGCTGGGGTTAATGGAAGGCTAGCATAGTACTTCAGTGTAACAGAGTTATGTAAAACGGCAATAAAACATTACTAGCAGACATAAAGATGCTGCTAATACTTGATGTAGATTTCTAGCTTGACAACCTTGTCATACAAAACCTGTTGATGCAAAAGCTATTTTACACAGTCTTTTACAGTAGACTACCCTTTAGCCAACAGGTAGGGGCCTATGCTGTGGTTGCTCATCCCTGTCATCACCATAAAAGGGAAATTGGCTGCATGAGTTTTCCTTTTGAAGCAGGAGGTCTATGAAGTCACCCATATCTGCTTAGGCAATTCAGGCATTGCACCAGTTACGGTCACCATTTTGGTTTCAGAGTCAGTTTGCTGCTTTTTATTTACACTGGTCTCCAGAGAGTAGACCTCCATCTCCTACCTCTGCTGGCTAAAGTGGAGCTAAGTGATATATCCTGTGTAGTAATATCTTAAGAGTAGCATGTAGGGTTTACTGCAGTTCTAGGTACCTTTTATTAATAAGATAAGATTAACATTTTGTCTTTTTGTATCTTTTTGTAAAGCATATGAGTCAGACTAACTGCCCCTTCACTCCCTGCACTTTGCCTTGACCCACTAAAATTAGAAAAATAGTAGAATACTGTATCGGTATTGCATAGCTACTTCATAACTATCTCTGAGTGCACATGTTAATAACACTTTCATCATCCTAAGGGCTCTGGATATTTTTGGTTCATAATTTATTTTCCTTTAGAGTCCAGTATAATACCAAAGAACTGTATTGTAGGGGAAAATTAGAGGTTAATGTTTCCATCCTTTTTTGTACAGTTTGGAACTGCTGAGGGATGTATGACTGCTGTATCCTTGGAGGTTTATTAGTACTGCTTCCTCCACTTTCTAGTTAGCTATACAGCAAGGGTATCTAGCAAGAAATAGAGAATTGAATTTGAATTCCATTTTTAGTACCCTACCTCCAACCTTGGCTTTGTGGGTAGTCAGTGGGAAACTTAATAGAAAATGGTAGATTGATTCTGAAATCAAAATGTCACTTGTACCTGGCAGACCTCCTGTCTGTAGAGGGAAACCTTGCTCGCAAACTCCTTTTTACACCGATAACTTTGAGTTGACCATTTACAAGAGCTGCCTGGCTACAGATTCTCTTGGAAAATATGATTTTATGACCAATCCGCCATATGAGTTGGATAAATGTTTAATGGGTGAGCGCTTACTTTTAGCTAGGCTAAAGAGTATTACTTACCCTGTACCTATTTGGTATTGTTGGTGTTGTGTGATATATTTCTTCAAGGAGAAAATATTTTTCATGAATTTTGATGAAATATCACTGGTAAGATGCTGGAACATGTACTATAAGTTGATGTTTTTATAAAGAATTTGTATTTCTTATTTTCTGATGTTTTGACTGTACTGTACAATAAGTTATGTTTGTAATTCTTAATACAGTTTCATATTTCTTCCTGGTAACAGATATTTTATATCAAAGTAGCATTACTGTTGAAGATTACCTTGTGCTTTAACTTAAAAAATATATATAAGTATAAATTTTTATGTGTACAGATGGTGATTGTACAAATCTGATAATGTTTTATTATTCCTCCAGTGGTGAATTTCGTGTATATGAGGATACCCAGATGGTGCAGCAGGACATAAACCCAGGTGTCCATGTGTACGTACATTACTTCACACTCTATGATGTGCGTGCTCGAGGCTTTGTTCGACCCATGTGCCTCTCATACATTTCCTCAGATGCAAGGAAACTTCTGCATTATTTCTCTCAACTAAGACAGCATTTTATTATGGTGAGGAAATTTTCTTGTAACATGAATGTACAGTAGAGCCTTATTTTTCTTTAGCACAACTAGGATTCTGGATGAGCCAATGTTCAAATTGTATTCTGTAAACCCTGCTAAACGGGATTTCATTTACCTGCTAATCTGGATAAAGTAGACCCTATCTGGCCCATCTGTGCTTACCCCAGAAAACTGAGAAAATTATGAAATAATACTGTATACGCTACAGTTTTTTTTTTTTTGCTAAACTAATTTGGTGTATTGTAGTTAGTCAGTTCTAACTGATGCTATAGTGTCCATCTTAACTCTAACTACAAAACTCAGAAAATACTGGGTTAGCTCTACTGGGCTGGTGTTTGTGATTGTCTCATGTTCACACCATTCATGATCATGTGCACTCAGTCCAATTTTTATTGGCAGTTTGAACATATTAGCGGGCATACCCCGATAACCAACGCAGGGACTGTGAAATGTCGTTGGTTAGTGAATCAACGGTTATTGAAGCAATTAATCTCATAAGCATATAACAAATTCAGGGAATTAGGGAAGGGCCACCCCCCAAAAACTCCCATCTACCCTTGATATATCACTAGTGCACACTGTCAAGCAAGAAAATAAAACAGACATATGAAGCAATCTTAATAAGCATTAAATAAGGAATGTAAAACATAAAGTAAGGCTGTTATTTACCTTTGTTGAGGATGGTAGAGATGATCTTGGGTGGCAAGTTCAAGTCTCTACTAATCTTTGCTGGTCCATCACCACTCTATGATGCCTTTTTACATCTTATCACATTACATCAAGCTGCCCCTCAGCACAAGAGGAACTCTCACCAGAGCGTTTAAGGCATGATTGCATAACACAAGAAATCTGAAATAACGAAAAAGTATGAAGTCGGAGACACATCGTAAGTGTAAAAAAGTGCAGAGGCCGGAATGAGTCGGAGGCAGTGTGCAGAGCTCTCTCATGGCATGAATTTGCACCAAGCCACCACATTCAAAACAGCTCTGCCTCTCCTCTCCCAATCATTGAATCTCCGGAGTATCAACAAAACTTGTGGGGTATTTCCCCAATATGTAATTGTTGGTTATGTAAATCGGCAGTTATTGGGACATCAGTTTTGGGGATATACAGTACCTGTTTGCTCTAGGGATCGTGTACTGTACTTTCACGCCATTTCTGTATTTTTTTCAGTGTAGTGCTCCATTGCAAGTGGTAGTGAGTTCCCAGCACAACAGTGTTGTAAATATATCAGAAACTGTATTGTACCCTTCGGCTCGCAGATAAAGAGTGAAATTTGATTTGTTTTTCTGATGATGATTGATTGCATTTCTTAATTCTAAAGATTTGTAGTCATTTACAGTATATCTGTGCACCATAGTTAAGATTAATATTGTGCTATAATTCAGTTACTGTAATATTAGTAATCTACTGTACAGTATTGTGTTACCAGTATGTATGACTAGCCTCCTCCTCCAGTGTTATAATTAATGGTGTTTTTATTTCTTGCAGGCAACTGAATACCTGAAGCTGAGTAATCTTGAATGGTTTTCAGAAGAAATGAAGGGACTCATCAGAAACTTGGAATATACAAAGGATCGATACATTCAAGTTCAAAGAAATGTATTAGCTGACTCATCCAGTGTGAGCTTATGTTGATTTTGTGTTCATGCTTAGGGAGGACATTATTATTTTCAAATTACACATTATGCAAGTACATATTCACATTTATTGTGTCCTAGAATGCATAACCAAATGTATGTTTACTGTGTGTGTACAAAAACTTTTAGTACAATACAGTATTTTTTAAGTGCAGTACAGTGGGGTCTCACTTTGCGTGGGTATACTGTATTGGTACACGTCCGCGCATCACAAATCTGCACACATGATGCCGTTTAACACATGTTAAAATTGCTCTTTTGTACTGGACACGCCAGACCTTTACTATTTAACGACTTTGGGTAACCAACTTAACCTCCCCAAAATTACACATGTCACATAAATTGCATCTACATTATTAAATAAATCTTTTCAGAAAGCCCGGGAAGTTAATTAAGCGATGTGGGAAGCTCTGGGAGATGATTGGGGTCTGAGGCAGGGGTGAAGCCTTCAAAATCAACTGTTGACACTTGTAAAATGACTTCAGCTTCATCACCAGAGCAGCGGGGTCATTGTCACTGGATTCTCCTTGATCTTCATCACATTGTTGAGGCAGAAAATAGGCGGTGATGAGAGTTTGGCGGCGGCATTTAATAAACTCCTGGTAACGTTGCCTGTAGGTTTCCACCAAACTGTCTAGCTGTGCACATAATTCATCACTGCATTGCAGGCTGGGCTCAGCACTCATTAAAGCATCCTTGAGTTCTTCAACCTTGTTGAAAACTTGCATCACCTGCCACTGATTCATGCCTACTTCGGTCTGCTTCGGTTCTGCCACACCACCAACACTTCCTTCCGCTGCCTCAAAGTCACTCTTCTCGTCCTGCAGCATGTCATCTAGTGCAGTGGATTCCCCTTGCTCCAATAACTTCCATCACATTGTATACAGATAATGATTGGCTCGCTTATTTTTATAATGTATCAGTACTGTAATGAATAAATGAAAAAAAAATGGTGAACGCGGCAACAGCCATTCTTTCAACCCCCCTCCCCCCCTCCTTTGCGGAGGGAGGGGGCCACTGGTCAGGGAAGAGGTTACCTTTTCATTCGGCTTGTTCTTTTATCTTAAATTCAAATTACAGTATATAATTTTTTTTCTATATACAGTTGTACCCCACTTAGCGGTCAATTGAAACCAGGGTCGCGTTAAGTGAACAACAGAACATATGGGATTAATTCCAATGAAACGCCCGACCCCAAACTCCACTTTTTGAAGGCACATACCTATGTTGTAGTAAAAATAACATCTTAATTTTATGATGGTACATGCACACAATTAATACTTAAGAGAAATAGAGAAATACAGTCGCCAAGTTAATGTCCATTCAAATAATGGACTCAACTCCCTCCCCCTCTCACACTACACTGCCGGCTCTTCCCTCTCAGAGAAATTTTTGGGGAAAACCACTAAATTTTAATAAATAATACCTCAAACTAAAGTTAGGATAATACAATTGACATTGCTGGATTCCTTGTAAGACCAGGAATATTTTGAATATAAATGTCATATATTTTGCACAAAAGATAACATAGTTACCTAGAGAAAAATTTTATCTAAAATTTGTATGTTTAATGCAAAATATATGATGTTTATATTCAAAATGATCACCAAATTATAAGAATTCCAGCAATGTAAATTATATTCTGACCGGGTAATTTGTATGAATTTTATGAGCTAAAACAAATATCTTCAGTTAATAAAAAAAAAATAATCTTCACGACACTATCTGTCAATCAAAGTACCCCACCTTGCCTCCCCCCCTCTTCCAACCGCGCGGTCAGTCCCAACCCTCCCCCCCACCCCCCACCAATCCTCCCTTCCAGGGTTTTTAACATTTAGTATTAAATAATACCTCAGATTAAAGTTAGGATAATATAATTGACATTGCTGGATTCCTTGTAAGACCAGGAATATTTTGAATATAAATGTCATATATTTTGCACAAAAGATAACATAGTTAATTTGAGAAAAATTTTTATCTAAAATTTGTATGTCTAATGCAAAAATATGATGTTTATATTCAAAATGATCATCAAATTATAAGAATTCCAGCAATGTAAATTATATTCAGACCGGGTAATTTGTATGAATTTTATGAGCTAAAACAAATATCTTCAGTTAAAAAAAAATAATTCTTCACTGGGTAACAGATGGTCGGTCGGTTGGTCCCTCCCTCCCCCCCACCCCCCACCAACCGTCCCAAGGAGATGTGTGGGATAACCACTAAATTTTAATAAATAATACCTCAAACTAAAGTTAGGATAATATAATTGACATTGCTGGATTCCTTGTAAGACCAGGAATATTTTGAATACAAATGTCATATATTTTGCACAAAAGATAACATAGTTACTTTGAGAAAAATTTTTATCTAAAATTTGTATGTCTAATGCAAAAATATGATGTTTATATTCAAAATGATCACCAAATTATAAGAATTCCAGCAATGTAAATTATATTCTGGCCGGGTAATTTGTATGAATTTTATGAGCTAAAACAGGCAGTCAGGCAGGGTGGGGCAAATCTAAAAATAGCGTCTCGAGCCGGACACTCACCGCGTATATGTGGAAAAAATCCGTGTTAAGTGAAAGTTCAGCTCTGGCGAGGCACCGCGTATATGATAAAACGCGTTAAGTGAAACCGCGTTAGGCGGGGTAATACTGTAATAGTTTATATTATTAATGATAAAACATACACCATAAGAGGCTGATCATATGAGAATATAATAATGAATAAGTAAAACACTAGTGCACAATGCACATTCCACTCCTCAACCTTTCCCTTCCCGGCTTATCCTTTTATTTTGAAGTCAAATTGTATATCGTATTTTGTTTTATTATTTAATACTGTATATTATATAATTTATGATGAAACATACATCATAATTGGTTGATCATACGAGAATATATTAATGAATAAATAAAAACTGGTGAATGCGGCAATGGCCAGTCCCTCCAACACATTCACATGTGAAATGTCATCTCTTGTACCTATTAGCTCACGTTAGGCCTATATAATCTGATTAGGTCCACTGTACAGTATCCCCATTAAAGACAATACTGTACAGTATATACGTACAGTTATTTTAATACGTACTGTACAGTATTTTTATAATAAATAAGGTAATATATTTAATAAAAAATTAATTATTTTTTAATGAACTGTGCTGCACTATATTACGTAAGGTATGCACTTATAATGTCCAATAATTAAAATGACCAAAATTGCTAAATTTGTGGCTAAATAAGCAAAGGATCACTAAATTAATGCTATACCACTACCTACGTTACCCACGACTCTCCTCATAAGCTATAACTATGGTCACATTTCAACCACTCGCGTAAGTGGTAACTGCACACACGAGACCCACGTAAAATGAGACCCTACTGTACAGTCATTCCTGATTTTGGGAAATGCGTTTTACAATAACGGAAATGGGTAAGTAATGACTAAAATTAAAAATAATGTGGTTTAATTGCTGCATTATTACATGTGTTTCTGTTCAGGATACATAAAATTAATAAAGTATATTATTTTTATTATGTACACAGTATTTTTTACTTTGTAGAGTCAAGATTTTGTTGTGTAAGAACTTTTTTTTTACCAATATGATGGGAGTCTATAGGAAAATTTGGTTAAATATAGGGAATATTGATTAATGGTAAGATTTTATGGAACTTAATCCTTCCATATATCAGGGGATGACAGTATCTGCTAGCAGGAGACATACATGTTTGTGCTGCCATCTATTGAGGGCAGGGGAAACTATATTTTCATCAGCTGATTGACAGTTTTCATTTGATATTTATTTATTAAACTTATAAAAACTTATTTAGTGAAACGTACAGTATTAAAAATACCCCCTAGTGTTCTGAGGGAGTGTGACCATTCTAATCCCTCTAACTATCACCCCATTGCCTTCACTTCATCCCTCTCTAAGATTTTCGAGACTACAGTACTGTATCCTAAATTCTCATTTTCTCCGTCACCTTGAACATCTTTATCTTTTGTTGAATCACCAGTATGGCTTTTGCCAGGCGAGATCTACTGGTGATGTGCTTTCTTACTGCACCCATCTTTGGTCATCCTCTCTTAGAGATTATGGGGAACTTTCGTAATGGTCCTCGACATCTCCAAAGCATTTGACAGGTTATGGCACAAGTCTTTGCTTTCTAAACTTCCCTCTTATGGTTTCTCTCCCCCACTTTGTTCTCTAAATTCTAGCTTCCTTGAGAACTGATCTATGGCAGTTGTTGTCGAAGGATCGATCTCTCGCTCTTTCTCTACCAATAGTGGTGTCCCACAGGGTTTTGTTCTTTAACTTACTCTCTTCCTTCTTTTTATCAATGATTTACTTCTCACTACGACTAATTCTATCCATTCTTACGCTAATGATTCTGCTCTTCACTCTCCTTCACACCGGTGCCAAGGGTGCAAAAAAATAGAGTAAAAAGAAGTTAAAAATAGAACAGAAAAAGACCATATTAATCTACATTACGAAGATGCTGAAAAACCAGTTTTTTAAAGAGACAGATTGTAAGAGTATGGAAACACAGAAGAAGGCAGAGCATTCCACAGTTTGGCTGTGTGAGGAAAGAAGGACTTACTATAACGAGTTATTCTAGTGTGACCGACAGCCACAGAGAAACTGTGGGCACTGCGGGCAAGATGAGTGTTACAAGCCCACGGCCTTGCCGGGGGTACACAGGATGCCAAATCCACCAAACAAAGTACCTGTAAAAGAGAGAGTGAAGCAACATTGCAGCTAAGAGAAACGTTGTGGGTTGTTTGACCTGTGCTCGGGTGGGCTAATTCCTATAAAAAAGAAAGAAAAAACAGACGAAATGCTTTTGATTCCACCCTATCTAACAGTTGGATAGAAGAGGAGCCACCCCAGATATGAGAGCAGTACTCTAAGTTAGGATGAATGAATCCCTTATAAACTAGAAGCAACTGTTCAGGAGTGAAATAGCTACGGCATCTA